CCTTTTTCCAATTATTATTCACTGTCCAATGTAATTTCCCTCGACACCAATTTACACGGCGGGTGCGGTTTACAGATCGAATTGTAAGGGTCTTCCTGGTTTTCCTTCTTGTAAAGTTTAAAAATCGCAAACGTCTTCTTACCGTCCGTGAAGAGATAGAACTTGGTAACTTCGAGTTCACTTCATCAGTTATTTCACCCAAAGTTTGCCGTCTGTTGAGTTTCACACATCGAAGTATCTTACGATCTCCTCGTACATCAGTTTTTCTAGGTCGACCGCTTCGATGCTTATTTTCGCTGGATCCGCGCGTCTTGTATCGCTTGAGAAACTTGGAAATCCCAGACTGGCTCACAGAAAGAATAGCTGCTATGTCCTGTTGGGTGTATCCACTCTCAGACATAGTTATTATCGCATTTTTCATAGGGGTAGACATTTGTTTACCTTTAGTAGCCATCTTGTCAGTTGCTAAATATTTGACAGATATTGCGTCACTTTTATAAAATTATTATGGGTGTTTTTATTTGCATAGAGACAAGATTGAAAGTGTCAAAAGTGTTGTAAAATTCAGCCATCATTTAATAAAACTGTTATTGACTGTTGACAATTTTATTATGGGTGACTATATAGACCTGAAAGTGTCAGTAAAATTGGTCATTTAATAACCTCGGCCTTCGGCCTCAGTCAACCAATACCTGACCAGGTCTGTATAGTCACGAGTTTGGCCGAGGTTAACCAGTACCTGACCAGGTCTGTATAGTCACAAGTAGACCTCATCAAAATTCAATAATTGTATAATGTACGTTACCACTGCTCCATGTTTACCTTTCTGTATGCTTCAAGAAGATATCCCTCCACAGGGGTCCTTTTGTTGAAATGAATAGTGACTGGAAATTGACGAGAATTCACTTTGACAACAGGAGGAACTGTTTTAAATAATCTAGGGTTTTCTGTAAAATCCTCCACTTTCAACGTGGCTGACATTATGATCAGCTTCAGAGGAATTCCTCTCTGAAAATAAGAGATGTTTTTTTTTTTCTGTAATGACATGAATTTCAGGCATTTTATCTGTTTACATACTGTATAGGAGGGAAATAACTCCTGAAGTAATAAATATTCACCATATTCACAATGTTACTGTAAATCACTTTTTATTCACGAGAACTTTATTTTCGCGTAATTACGCGAGACAGTGTGCTCGCGAAAATTAAATTCTCGCGTATAATAGTATTCCTAAAGATTATATAGAGCAATAGCCACAATTCATGAAAATTTTGTCTCGCTAATCAAGAGTCAATGACTATCTCGCGTAAATAAGGTGTCGCGAAAATTTAGTGATCTACAGTAATTAATAAATGCTTGAATTCAAGAAACAGTGAAAATGTTTTCGTGAAAATTATAATTTTTTTAAAAATAAAGATACAAGTCCAATCTGGGAGTAGATATATACATAGATGTACATGTAAATGCATAGTAGTTCAGAAAATAAAACTGCAACTTGATGTTAAATTATTTACTTTGCCCCCATTTTTCTTTTTAATTAAGATCACAAGATAATAATTTGATCTTATCTTTCATTAAACACCCACTAGAAATAGCTAGTTCTGTCATTAATGAAAGGAAAAGTGAGCAAGCTCACATACCCCACGCTCCCCCAAAACTCAAAGTGCTGAAAATCCTGGAAAAAATGAAAGAATCAGAATTTCCCGGTAATATGCACAATTCATCTACAAATTGTGTCCTAAATATCTGCAAAGTTTGATGAAATTCTGTGCAGTGGTTTATGAGGAGTTGTGCTGACAAACTGTTCATCACTATATTCAAGATATCCCCAAAAATCTAAGTTGTAAAGTGCCGAAATTCCCAGAAAAATAAAGGATTCCAAATTTCCTGGTAAAATGCACATATATACATTGTGTCCTATATATCTGCAAAGTCTGACGAAATTCTGTGCAGCAGTTTATGAGGGGTCGCGCTGACAAAATGTTCATCTGTATATTCAAGGTATGGCCAAATATCTAATTTGAAAAGTGCCAAAATTCCCAGAAAAATAAAGGAATCAGATTTTCCTGGTAATATGGACATCTACACACTGTGTCCTAAATATCCCAAAAGTTTGACAAAAATCTGTGCAGCGGTTTATGAGGAGTTGCGCTGACAAAATGTTCATCTCTATATTCAAGATATGGCCAAAAATCTAAGTTGAAAAGTGTGGACATTCTTAGAAAAAATAAAGGAATCGGAATTTCCTGGTAATATGCAAATCTACACATTGTGTCCTAAATATCTTCAAAGTTTGATGAAATTCTGTGCAGCGGTTTATAAGGAGTTGAGCTGACAAACTGTTCAACTCTATATAAAAGGTAAGGCCAAAAACCTAAGTTTTTAGTGTGGAAATTCCCGGAAAAAATAAAGGAATCGGAATTTCCTGGTAATATGCACATCTACATATTGTGTCCTAAATATCTGCAAAGTTTGACGAAATTCTGTGCAGCAGTTTATGAGGAGTTGCGCTGACAAAAAAACAGGACTGACAGACTGACTGACTGACTGACTGACACTCTGACGGACGGGTCAAAAACATTATACCTCACGCAACTAGTTATTATTTATTTATTATGGCCTAAACCAGCACTTGCAAATTAGTGAATTACATGTAGTTCTCTTTTATTCAGATCATTCAAAATTCTGTTCCTGCAGCATAGTATTTTTAAGATGCTATTTGATGAAATCATTTGGTATCAAATCCAGCAGCAGTAGTTTATCTGAGCAAGTGCAGCTGCTACAAAAAGGACTCGGATTTTTTTCTTAGAAAGACAATCCAGAAAGTTGTCACTAGATGAGCTGCAAAAATCGCAAATATGCAAAGGCTTTTAGTCCCAAATGGTAGTCATTTTCTTCTCAGATTTTCTATACATACGTAATAATTATACTTTGTTAATGGGAGGTACATAATGGGAGGTAACTTTTATAAACAAAAAATCGGCCATTATTCAATAAACCATGACTCTGTCAGAAGAGAAACAAAGGCCTATGGTCCACATCGCTCACCTGGGTGACTTTGGTCATGCTGATTTTTTTGCAATTATTGAAGAATAAAGTATATACTTTAATTTCAATTTTGAAATGACCAATCTTTTTCCCCCAGGGTGATGCCTTGAATTACTTTTTATTTACAGCATATCCCCATTCTTGTGTGTCTTCACCTATCCCTTGACTTCCGTGGATGTCGTGTGTAGGTTTATTGATAATCTGCCCGTTGGTTTTTGAGGAGATAGCAACCACTACTTTTATTTTTATTTCCCTAATCATCTCTCCTTACATAAGTGTCATATCTCTAGTTTGAGCAGAATTGATAGCCCTTGGGCCAAAGATAGCCATTGACAAATATGACAAAAATTGACAAAGGGGTTCATGAGAAAGGGCCAATATTCAAATAAGTTTACAGACATCACACAGCACACTAACTTATCTATTTGTTTGACCTACCTTGTGTCTGAGAGGAGTAATTCTAGACAAGAGACCTATCAGTATGTCAGTATATACACTTCTCTCATGGGCCTCATCAATTATCACAACACTGTACTTTGTCAGTAAGAAATCCTAAAATAGAACATGTCATTCAAATAATTTCACATTCAAAGGCTATATTTCTCCAGGATATAGTAATCAAAGTACTGAAAGCACTGAATCTAGGTGAAATCTTCCAGTGAAATCCATTCCCAAGTTAACTGGCAAGATACAAAATTTTGTATCGGTATTCATTATTGCCCTCCATTATATTGCCATCCCCATTTATCGCCACGAATTTTCCAAGAACAGATTTACCCCTGGGCTAATACACCATATTATATTTCAGACCCTGCTTATTGCCATCAGCCACTGGTTTTGGGAAACACAATGTCCAAGTCCATAAGGAACATCCTTAGTAACAATGCCAATTATCTAGTATGTGTTGTTAATTTGAACATCACACCCTATAAATCTTCCTTTGAATATACTAGGTGTGAGAAGATAATTACTTTTTTTTACCTTCTGAACTTCTTTCAACAAGACTCCATCAGTCATGAACTTGATCTTTGTACTCTCTGTCACATTTCCTTCATATCTGATCTGGTACGACACTTCTCTACATGAAGAAAACAAGATGTGTTTGTTAAACACTGCTACCCCTGTATGGCAACATAGTAAAGATTTAACTTTTCTTAGGTTCAAATTAAATATTTTGGTACCCAAAACAAGGTCTTCTTGAAAGGAATACAATTGTGAAATATGAAAGCCCTAGGACCACCTGTTCAAAAGTTAAGGCCAAGGTTAAGTTTTTGAAAAAATTCAAAGTCAAATTCAAGGGTCAAGGTCAAAGTGTCAAAGTTGTTGATTTCTAAAGAAAGGTCTTGTCAGGAGGATGAAAGCCATGTCCCTAACCTTTCAAGAGTTATGGTCAAGGTTAAACTTTTTAACAAAAGGTCCAAGGGCCTTGAATCACTCTTCTAATAAATTATATCTTCTTTCACCTCTAAGTATCCTGTAAATTTGAAGAAGAGGCCCAAGGACCTTATAGGTCACATGAGCATCATGCAACAGCTTTCCAACAATTGAATTTAGTTCATGTTTTAAACTAGGCGTCATGGCATTCACAATTTTGAAAGAGGCATCAATGCTAATCATAACTACCTATACACTTAGCATGTTTAGTTTGGTTATTTAATACCTAAAAACAAAGTAGGGGAACAAACCAGAAGTCTCTGGCAAGAATGTAGCTCTACTGGTTTGTACTTTAATATTAAAAGGAAGAGAAAAGTAGCAGTTGTGACATAAAACTTTACAAAAGCAATAAATATATAATGATCCTTGATTAAGTATTTTTTGTGGCAAGACTGCAATAAGACTACAACTGTAGGAGTAGCTTTTAATAAAATTTTAATTTTTCAATTTTAGTTACCATGGCTACAAAGTTCACCAAAAACAGAAAACTGATAATTACATATCTTAGTATAATCTACTTGTGCCAAGTAATACTGAAATCAAACCAAAACTGTAGAAGTAGCATTTTAAAAGTATTTCACAGAAATTTCTATTGTAAATAGCCACAGCAACACCGTTCATCGAAATTAAAAACTGCTCAGCAAAATTGTGTATCTTAATGTAGTCTACTTGTGTGCCAAGTTATATTGAAATCAGAACAAAACTATAGGAGTAGCACTTTGACAGTATGAAAGTATTTCAAAGAAATTTCTATTTTTAGTAACCACGGCAACACCGTTCATCGAAATCAAAAACCAATATATAGCATTATGTATCTTAGCATAGTCTACTTGTGTGCCAAGTTATATTGAAAACAAACCAAAGCGGAAGGAGGAGTAGCATTTTAAAAGTATTTCACAGAATTTTCTATTTTTAGTGACCACAGCAACACTGTTCATAGAAATAAAAAAAAAACGATACACAGAATTATGTATCTTAGTTTAGTCTACTTGTGCACTAAGTTTTATCAAAATCAGACCGAAACTGTAGGAGGAATAGCAATTTGAAAAATTGTTTACAGACCGACAGATGGACAGACGGAAGGACGACACATTACTATCACATAAGCTCCTCTGGTCTATGACCAGTGGAGCTAAAAAATGCATTTCAACTAGTCAGTAATATTCAACAATAATCAGTAGTGCCACTTCCACACACGAACCCCTGACCCTTGGTCCATATATTTCACAATTTTGGAAAAGGCACCCTTGCTTATCAAAAATGTTTAATACCAAGGAGCAGATTTCAATCAATTAATTCTTTTTCAGTATATAAGTAGAGCCCCCCTCTATGGTACCCCTGAGCAAGGGGCCTTGAAATTCACAATACAGGAAGAATGTCCCTTTTCCATCATAGCTATATAGGTAGTTCATCTGCTTAATACCAAGGAGCAGAGAGGAAAATTTTCAACGATTTAATGTATTTTCACTATACAATGTATAATCAATAGAGCCACATCCTTAAACCTGAGAACCCCTGACCCTGGGGCCATAAAATTCACAACTTTGGTAGAGGCATTCTTGCTCATCTTAACTATATAATCAATAGTTAGTTTGTTTAATATCCAGGGGCAAAGAGGAAGATTTTTGAAGAATTTCTGTATTTTCTCTACTAAATCAATAGAGCTCTGCCCTAACATCAGAACCCCTTACCCTGGGGCCATAGAATTCAAACTTTTGGAAGAGGCATTCTTCCTCATCATAACTATGTAGTAGTATGTACTGAGTTAGTTTATTTAATACCCAGGAGCAGAGAAGATTTTCAAAGAATTAATGTATTTTCACTATATAATCAATAGAGCCCCACCCCAACATCAGAACCCCTGACCCTTGGGCCATAAATTCACAAATTTAGAAGTGGCATTCTTGCTCATCATAACTATGTACTTAATTAGTTCATCTAAAAACCAGGAGTAGAGAAGAAGACTTTTTAAGAAATAATGTATTTTCACTATATATTCAATAGAGCCCTGTCCTAACACTAGAATCCCTGACCCTGGGGCCATAAAATTCACAAATTTGGAAGAGGCATTCTTGCCTATATACTTTGTAATTTTGTTGAATACTCAGGAGCAGAGAAGAACATTTTCATTGAATTTCTGTATTTTTTCTATATACCGGTAATCAATAGACCCCGCCCTAACACCAGAACCCCTTCTCCTGGAGCCATAAAATTCACAGTTTCTGAAAAGGCATTCTTCCTCATCATACATGTAACTATGTAATTAAATAGTTTTTCTTAATTCACTATATAATCAGAGGAGAAGCTGAAAATGTTCAAATGTTAACACACGATGCACGATGACGGACGAAAATGGAGAGCAATAGGTCACCTGACTCAGGTGACTTAAATACTGTATAGCAGGTTAAAATCGCGGTCTGAAAAGATCGCGATTTGTTCAATTTTCAGCAAATCGCGGTCGTTTGAATTCGCGGAAAGGAAAAATTATACATTTTTTAAAAGTACTTGCAAGCCTTTTTCTTTGGGTATATAATGTGCGAACTGATATTTCCCGTCTCTGTGTTACAAAATTTGTACATGTATATCCCGTATATCAGATAGGAAAGTAAAGTCTACATATTTGGTCGATTTTGAGCCCGATTGAATAACAACGAAATCCCGATTTGAAGTTAAAACAATGTTAAGCATTAAGATTTTTATTTACCCAAATCAGAAAAAAAAAATGTATCGTAGTCAAAATGTTGAACTTTTAATCATATAATTGAAATTAATTAATTGTTTTTACTCTGTTTACCAGTAATTGCCTTGATTAAAGGTAATGACTAAGTGACACGCACGGGTGTATTTAAACAAGTATGTTTTGATAAATAATTACATCAAACGTCTACTAGATGGTAAAATTAATCGTTGGCTATAGAAATTAATTTAACAATTAACAAACTTTTAAAAAAACATCAACAACTATGTGTTTGTAATTGATCCATACACCCGCAAAATTATAAAGACAGTCTACATCTCGGATAAATAACTGCCTTTGTGTGTACGGAAAGACAATTTGAAATGGATTTAAAGAATCTAATCGCAGATAATAACAAATTTCAATTTATCCTGATAAATCTTTAAAGAATTATTCACTGAATGTTGAATTCGCGGAATTTCTTCTCCCGCGAATATAGCGAATATTAACTCCGCGAGTTTATTTCCTGCTGTACAGTAATGGGTCACTGTGACATTCTTTTCGATAAATTTATTTACTTTAAGGCCTTGAAGTGCATCAACTTACAAGTTTTGATGATTCTTTCCTTGCAAGTTAATTTTTATAACAAGAACAGTCCATTTGTCAGAAATGGCCAAGTCTCAACAACAGAATTAGTGGATATGAATATTCTTTCCCAGAATTAGCATGGCAACCATCAAAACCCAAATCCTCTGTCTAGGCATTTATTCAAGATGACTAAAGAATGGGTGCCTCCTTTTTATCATGTCTAATGTGTTTAAAATCTAAATTAAATGATATATTAAGTATTTAATAATTACATTATTGTTAAGATATTCAACTATTTTTAAAACTGTAAATTTGCAATATTTTATAATGAATTGCTTAATTAAAAACATCTCTCTTTTCAAACTTGCTTTCACTGGGCAACAGAACAAATATCGCTTTTGACTATCTACCTTCCTACAATAAAACAATTAATCCAATTGTTGATTAAATTTCTAGGAAGCCTTATGTCTGAATTCAATGTGTACAAATTATTATACGCTAATGCAAAGGAATTTCAAAGATAGATCTTAAACTTTACACCTGTTCTTTGAACTGGTACCATTGAATGGACCATTTTTAGCATTAAGTCAAGTACATAGTGACGTCGTTTTCACATTTTGACTGAGCAAAATATTATTCAGCATATATTATGTGTATGGCTATATGTGTTCTCAGTTTTATTGTAATCTGAAGAGTGGTTTTGTAGATAGAGATAGTTTTTTGATCACCCCTCATACAGAATTTATTTGCGAATATTCGAACATTCGTTTCAGCTCTACAACAAATATCATCAAACTGCTTCAAAAGTTTACCCTGTTTTTTTTCCTTTCCAGACCACTAGATTTTCTGATGTCAGCATAAATTTGCATGTAAAGTTGCTGTTTACTTTTCCTACTGATGAATGAGTCACAATGCATTGTGGGCTACTACAAGTACTAGGCTGTGTTGAAAATAAAGGGCAACTTGAATTGTCCCTAGGAAACTTATTTTCAATTCTTTATTGAGATTTATGAAAGAAATATTTAATAGAAATATGTCCATAGGACATGAATGCCCCGTCCAGGGTATATTAGTGATGCAAAATGAAAATTTGTATTAGTGTATGAAATTTTATCAGAATATCTTTTAAAGTGATGCAGTTGAATTGCTTACATTAGTATTATCAGCATATGAAGTTTGACACTAATTTCATTAAAGTAAGGTCAAGATCCAAGGAAATGTCAAGGTCAAAAATGTTGACTCAGTTGAAAAGCTCTCATTAGTAAGTATCAGCATATGAAGTTGAAAAAATATTATAAACGGTTTCTTTAAAACTGACTTAAATACAAATGGATAAAAGTGAGGTCAAGGTCAAATGAAAGGTTAAGGTAAAAAAATGATGATACAATTGAAACGTTTACCTCAATATCTATCAGCTTATGAAGTTTGACACTAATTTAGGAAAAGTGAGGTCAATGTCAAAGCAAAGGTCAAGGTCAAATATGTTGATGCACTTGCATATCTCTTATCAATATGTATCAACATATGAAGTTTGAAAAAAATATCTAGAATTGTGTCTTTAATTAAAACTGACTTAAACACAATTGGATAAAAGTGAGGTCAAGGTCAAATAAAAGGTCAAGGTCAAAATTGTTGATGCAGTTGAATTGCTTACATCAATATGTATCAGCATATGAAGTTTGACACTGATTTGGGAAAAGTAAGGTCAAGGTCAAAGGAAGGTCAAGGTAAAAATGTTGATGCAGTTGAATTGCTCTCATCAATATGTAACAGCATATGAAGTTTGATGAAAAATATCTTGAATGGTATCTTTAAAACTGAGCAAAACACTAATTAAAGATAAGTGAGGTCAAGGTCAAAGGAAAGGTCAAGGACAAAAATGTTGAGCAGTTGCATAGCTCTCATCAGTATCTATCATCATATGAAGTTTGATGAAAATATCTTGGATAGTTTCTTTGAAACTTAGCTTTGAACAGAGCTAAACGCAAAGTGTGACGGAAGGACAGATGGAGGATGGACGGACAGCTAGACAGAGGGACAGAAGGACAGAAGATGGACATGACAAACACTGTATGTCCCGGCCATATTCATGACGGGGCATAAAAATGATGTATAATCTTTCATTTCTATGTTCACATTTACAAAATTTGCTTTATGAAGTCTTATATCAACTTATAATATGTATACATCTGCCTAAACCATTGCTCACCAGTTGAACAAGACAAAATAACATTTGGTGAAAAATCGTCCGGATACTGAAGCATCAGGATATCTGGCGTCCGGATATCTGAAGGTCCACTGTATACATCTGCCTAAACCATTGCTCAATGAGACATAGGTGCTATCGTATCGATAAAGCATAAGAGTTTTTTTACGTGACATACGTGTTCGTAGTTTTGGACAGCAATACAAGCTGTTCAATTATTATTTAACCCCTCAATATTATCAAAAAGTTTTTTTTTATCTACATGCAAATGTCAAAGCATTTGTATGGTATTCAATAGCTAGTATTCAAAGCAACTATTAATCATCTAAAACAACTCCAATGTGAGCATGGAGCAATGTCTTTGAAGTATAACCTTTCAATTTCGGACTTATAAAGTGATAAAAAAAGCTCTTTGGTTTTTCCAGTGTCGAGGTAAATGTTGTGAAGTAAACTGTCAAAAACCACATGTAGTAGACTGTCATGTGCTTTGGGATTCATTCACTTGAATAATTGGAGACAGGTGTGATGAAGACATCGTCACATGTTGAAAATTTCCTTCCATATAAGGTAGTGGTCTCGACCTGTTTCAGTATATATCTCTGTGTAAGGTTAACCTCATTTCAAGCACTCTGAACAAAAAACACAAAACTTACCTACTGGTGAGGTTCATTTCTGCTCCCACCCTTTGTGACATACTGATAGCAGCCACTCTTCTAGGTTCAGTCACAGCTATGATACCTCCAGCACTATAAATTACAAAGTATAACTGTATGTAAACTGCTTGTCATTTAGGAGGAACAATTTTACATATAAGCTAGTTCTTATTTCTAATTTAAGAATTTGTGCACTGGCCCTGTTAGGAAATACAGATAGAATAATCTAATGAGATTATACAGTAAAATTTGTCCAATAGAGATTACAAGTACTAAGATATTTTGTCCATTTCTGCAATACCGTAATTCTTAGCCCCATTTACTTCTTTAAACAGAAAGTGTTTCTGAAGCACTGATGCCCCCATATGGCAGTATATGGCAAGGGATGAATTTTCTCAAATGCAAGTCAAAACTCCAAGGTCAAGGTCAAAATGTCAAAATTGTTGGTATCCAGAGGAAGGTTTTGTCACAAGAAATATGCCTGTGAACTATAAAAGCCCTTAGGCTAGTTCTAACTGGTAAAAAGCTATGGCCACATAGTGCAATGAAATGTAGAAAGAAGTATTCATATGAAGCCAGTGGGAAGAACAATACAGTACAGCCTTCAAAATGACTAGAATTCAAAGCTTCTATACCAATCAACATTCATCCCTTGGGTAGTGAATTACATCAACATCCTGATCAAACTTTTGTACATAAGTTGATTGACGGTTTAGGCAATGGTTTTGACATTCTAAGAAAGGAAGAGGAAATTCGCAATGGTAAAGAATGTAGGAATCTGTAATCAGCTCGTGATGATCTACATAAAGTTGATATTATGATAAGGGCCAAAATAAAAAAAGGTTTTGTCATAGGCCCTTTTACGTCCTCTCCATTCATTTAACATAAAATCAGTCCAACGGGAATAGCAGTTAGGAAATACTCAGGAAAGAAAAGGCTCATTCTACATCTTCACATCACAATGATCAAAATCACGAAAGCATCAACAGTTTAACTGACAAAGAAAAATGTTCACTTAAATAATTGTTAAAATTGATGAAATTATACATTTTGTATTTCTTATCCCCAAGATTTAAGAGTACTTTAATTAAATATGTACTGAGTACTTGATTATGTTTAAAGTAGCAATTTGTGTTTTACAGTATACATGTTGTTGTAATGGTTGTCAGTTGTTGATCCCAAGAGCCAATTTAGATTGTTTGAAATACATTGTAATTAAAAAAACCGACAGATCGACAGACAGGAGCAAAGCAATATGCCCTCCCTTCTTGGTTCTTGGAGGGGGGGGGGGGCAAAAAAATAAGTTATACCCCATGGGATGATCATGATATACTGGAACAAGATGCTTTAGTTAACACTTTTTAGATCTTGTATTTTTAGTGCTAATGCTTGATTTTGATAGGGCAACTTACTGAGCATAACCAGCTTCATAAAGAAATTGGGGTACTTGAGTTGTTTTTCCTGATCCAGTTTCTCCACAAATAATTACCACATTGTTCTCATTAATGGTTTCCATAATCATCTGTTCCTCTGCCAAAATTGGTAGCTTAAATCTTGCTTCCTAAAATCAAGAAAAAGTATGCATGTATAACAGAATACCCTATACAGTCTTTGAAATGTTCTACATTTCCATTTTTTTCATTCCCTCACCATTTGTTCACGATTTGTTCAATGTGCGTTCACTGTTTGTTCAGGCTGTGTTTATCCTTTGCCTTCAGTTGTTACCAATGGCTTGTGTTCAAATTTTTCATAATTATAAGGGGAATTTTTGACAGATTTTTCATGTGGAAAGGTACCTTTTACCATTAGTTAAGACAGCATTGATAAAGCTGATAGCACCTATACACATTATGAATAGCTTGCCTGTATTTCTGGTTCCCTGTTGACTTGAATGTTTACAACAGGCTTCTGTTCTGTTAATTTTTTGTTGGCTTTATCAATGGAAAAATCAACATCTGTTATCTTCACTTCCTCTGACATTTTTAAATCAGATCCATTTTCAACATTGTGTTTTCTGCTGTTTTCATCTTTGCTCTTTGCAATGTCTTCTTCATTAGATTGTTTGTCTTCCTTCTCCCTCTCTTCCTCCTCCTGTTCCTCCTCCTGTTCCTCCTCCTCTGATGAGATTTCAGATGTATGGACTGAACTTTCTGAGTCATCACTACTGTCTTCATCAATGTTCACCTCAGTTTTCTTTCTATAACCTCCTACTACAGTGTTGCTTTGTCTTCCTTTTTCAACAGTGTTAGGAGTCCATTTTCTGTTTATAAATATAGAATTCTCCATGATTATGCACATAAGGGATTGAAAACCAAAGTACGCTATATAGAATATGACACTGCGGTTTTTGATCTTCGTCTGAGTGGTGGGTATCGGCCAAACATTGTAAATTAAGGGCTATATTTCATATTTAGTTTTGATTATGGCGACAATGTATAATGAACGTGTGTGACATCTGCTCTAGAAAATTATCTATGATCTTAAGATTTTTTCGTGAATTTCTTAATTTAATAAAATCCCCTGAAAAAACATACTCGTAGTTTTCTGATCAAGAGTGCAAAAAGATAAATGGAATTCTTTCAACTTAATTTCTATTAGCAGTAAGCTGCAGAATTGTAGCTCTCTGAAAAAAATATTTTGACAGACCAAAGAGCTACAGCTTCAAAGAGTTGACATTCATTTACAATGCAACAAATCTGAATCACCGCGACATGTAAGTCTGCAGAAAAACTTCTGTAGAGACATCAATTTTTCACATAAAACTACATTCCAGGTATTGAAAGTAAGTTTGATATGTACTCTAACAAATACTAAAAACTTGTCTAAAATAAATATTTAGAACACTCAGAAGATATCGGAATATTTTCGTGTTGTCATTTTACTAGTTCCGAATACCCATTTTAAACACTTTTATAAATTCATTCTTCGTTGTTTTCTTCATTGTAAACATGACTTATTATACCCCCGCTTGAAAAGCAGGGGAAGGGGTAGATAGTGATGGGAAGTTTGTCCATCTATCCGACTGTACGTCCGTCTGTCTGTACGTCCGTCCGTCTGATACGCTTTGGGGTACCCATTTCTTATCCACAACTCCTCTCCTACCACTGAATGAAATTTAATGAGGCTTTACAGAATTTAATGAGGCTTTAACAGAATCTTTGTTAAATAGTGCCAAAGTACACCTTCTATTTTTTATTTTTTGAACTGGCACATAATTTGGGCTCCCTTAGCATTACATGGATACTGCCATCCTGTCTAATTTTGAAGGGTATATCCATCTCTATCCACATTTCCTCCATTCCACTGAATAAGATTTAATGATACTTTCATAGAGCCTTCGTTACATTGTGCCATTTTAATTTACATGTGACCTCTTATTTTACTTTTTGATCTTGAGTTAAAATCACAACATCTAGATTTTCGAAACATGCTTTGACCGATTAAAAATATAAGAACTCTGTACGATGTTCTTCTCATAAGTACATGCTGTAGATCACTTTATTTTCGCAACACCTTATTCTCGCGAGATAGTCATTGACTCTTTATCAGCGAGAAAAAATTTTCACCAATTGTGGTCAGTGCCTTACATAATCTTAAGGAATTCTATTATACGCGAGAATGAAAATTTCGCGAGCATACCGTCTCACGTAATTACGCGAAAATAAAGTTCTCACGAATAAAAAGTGATTTACAGTAGTTAAAAAGGTGATATACATATTAAAATTATTGCTTTTTCGGATGATTTTTAAATGTAAACCATGTTTACATTTAAAACACTTACAAGTACAAGTACAGGTTATACTTTGCTAAACAAAAAAAATAATGTTAATGTGTATGGGTAATTCTAACTTGTAGTTTACACGTACATGTACACGTACAAGTGAGCTTGCTAAACCTCTCTAGTATTCCATAAAGGTACACATATAAAAATTTGAGTAAAATTTGAGATGAATATTGGCATTTAAATCATCCGAGAGATAAGAGCTCCCGTCATCAAAAGATACCTGTATATATACATGTATATATATGAATCAAAATTAAATCCAAGATAAACAAACAAGTTTACGTTTAATTATTTACACTAAGCGCTTTCGCCGTTACGGCTCTTCAGAGTGTAAAAATGATAACAAGAGGCCCATGGGCCACATCGCTCACCTGAGCACTAAGGGTAGGAAAAAGTAGAAAATGGCTTTTTATTGTAAAGTTTAAATCCAAAAGTAGTCCCATGACAAATCATGGATTTTCTATTATTTAGAAAATGATTTTTAAAGAATTTTCCTATATATATCTTTAAAAACTTTGGTCGGCCATTTTGGCCCCGCCCTACCCCGGGGGGTCATGATTTGAACAAATTTGAATCTACACTACTTGAGCATGCTTCCATATAAATATGATGAATTATGGCTTTTGTCATTCTTGAGAAGAAGATGTTTAAAGAATTTTCCTATATATGTAAAACTTTGGTATATATATATATATATATATATATATGAATATCATATATATATATTTCTATGTAAAACTTCGGCCATTTTGGCCCCACACTACCCCTGGGGGTCATGATTTGAACAAACTTGAATCTACACTACTTGAGCATGCTTCCATATAAATATGATGAATTACGGCTTTGTCATTCTTGAGAAGAAGATTTTTTTAGAATTTTCCTATATATTTCTATGTAAAACTTGGGTCGGCCATTTTGGCCCTGCCCTACCCCCGGGGGTCATGATTTGAACAAACTTGAATCTACACTACCTGAGCATGCTTCCATATAAATATGATGAATTATGGCTTTGTCATTCTTGAGAAGAAGATTTTTAAAGAATTTTCCTATATATTTCTATGTAAAACTTTGGTCGGCCATTTTGGCCCCGCCCTACCCCCGGGGGTGATGATTTGAACAAACTTGAATCTACACTACCTGAGCATGCTTCCATATAAATTTGATGAATTATGGCTTTGTCATTCTTGAGAAGAAGATTTTTAAAGAATTTTCCTATATATTTCTATGTAAAACTTTGGTCGGCCATTGTGGCCCCGCCCTACCCCCGGGGGTCATGATTTGAACAAACTTGAATCTACACTACCTGAGGATGTTTCCCCATAAGTTTCATCTTTCCTGGCACAGTGGTTCTTGAGAAGAAGATTTTTAAAACATACCACCAAATTTTCACTAATTCTCAATATCTCCCCTTGAATATACCCAAGGATGCTTTGTGGCAAGTTTGGTTAAAATTGGCCAAGCGGTTTTTGAGAAGAAGTCGAAAATGTGTTTACGGACAGACAGACGGACAGACAGACGGACGCCGGACAAAATGTGATATATATCATGAGCTATAAAAACAATACAACTTCGTTGTTATGATGTCGTTATTATGACGTCACAAAGGCAGCGTTATACATTTTCCCTATATATATATATATATATACTTACGTTTGAAACTTCCCTGTTTGGACGTCTGCTATACTTGACAGCTGCTGCAGTTCTTCTGGAGTAGCTTGTACTGCTGATAATGATTCCAGAAGATCAGCTCTCTGTTTTGTAACAGAAATTTGATAGTTATGACAATACAATCACTGATTGAAATTTGACTATTAGATTTAGCTAAAAAATGCAACCATCTAATTCTCATGAACCAAATCAAAATACTGAAAGTGTCTGTCAGACTAATAGTATAATAATTTGAGTAAATTGCCATTTTTGAAATATTGTACATTTTTGAAAATCTTTAATCTCTTGTTAATGGTATTTTGATGGCAAGTGTCATAATTTTTGTAAACTAGCTATATTATGCATTTGCTTCTTTAAAATCTTTGAAAAGCTAGCTCACAATCTAACTTCAATCCCCTTATAAACCTTTCCATCCTTTCCCCCTTAAAGCCACAATTTGAGGACTAGCAGAGCTGTGGAAAACTGCCGGTTATGCCGGTAAGACCAGCAAAAAATGCCTGTGTCTGGTAAAAATGCTATCGATGTCGGTCCAAATGACTGACCTCTTTTTTTGTTAAAGGTTTTTGCTTTTTCCATTTTAATTCAGGCCTACCATCGGCGCACTTCCCAGCTTAATTATTGTACCTTATACATGATTGCGCAATACTTTTTCTTTACACGAGATCGAGGCTATAGGAAATAAAAGTGAAACCAGCAAAATGCAAAAAACAAAAACAGAGGAGGACTTGGAAATGGAGACTGAATGTTATTATTAAGTAAAGTGTAATTAAGAAAATAATGGTATGCTTTTCTTTTTAATTTTGCAACTTACTATTTCGGACCGGAAAAAATCACTTCAGACCAGCATATTTTGTCTTCTTGCCAGTCCGAATGACTGGCTATCTGAAAAAGTTTTCCACAGCTCTGGGACTAGCCCAAACCCTTAATGGCAGTAAAAAAAACTTTATATTTTCTATACCAGCTAGGATGTCTTCAACCATTTCTATGAAGAAGATTTTCCCTGATTGATAATTATTTGAAGATTTGATCTATTCCTCCAAAAAGATCGCTACACAGTTACAAACATTATTTTTTTCCTGTGATTAATTTTTTAGTTTATTCACAGTAAATATGTGGGGGATACCTTATTCATTCTACTTCTAACAACATGTACTCCCTTTGTTCCTTTGAAATTTGTTTTGGAGTGTGTAACTAAAAACACCATTTTCTCATTGAGCAAGGTTTACCTTGGATTTCTTTTCCTTCTGTTCTATAACTTTCTCAAGTTTCTTCCTTTCTTTTTTGCTGAGTTGTTTGATAGAATGTGCAACAGTTTTTTGTTTAGCCTTAACATTTCTTTTTTTGGATGGCAACACAAGGACATTGGTGTCATCATTATCAGGAATCTCTTTAGCATCAAGATCCAATTTAATCTGGAAAAATATTTAGAAACAATTCATGAAAAAATTACCCTTGAAGATGGGTTCTTTCTGTGCAATTGCAGTTGAAGTTCTGAAAGTTTTGGGGCTACCGGTATATACAACAGTTAATTTGTGACCAAACAGGCAGTTACTTCTTGAATGCAACAAAAATGAAGACCAGTTCTGGTTAACGTGATAATTTATTTGTAATTATTCAACACAATATGAAGTTATCCTATTTATCCATGCCTCATCGCACTCAAGGTGGTGGACAGTTACTCAAATAATAGAAATACATCTTTTGCTTCAAAATGTTCAAACGCAGCAATGTATAATCTATCTCCTTTTTTTTATTGCTTTTATAAACATATAAAGTATAACATTTTTATAGTAGGAATTTAGTTGCAACTTTTTGTTTTTGTTAAATGAAAAGCAAAGAACAAGGTTCACTTTGTCTTTTTTTGGCCCTGTAAATTTCTGAAAACTTTTAGTTAACAATGCATACATTGAATATCACTTAGATCTTTGGTGATTGAGTATCTATAAAAAAAGAAGATGTAATTTTCTAGCTAGTCAATGCATTATAATTCAAGAACATTGCAATTTCATAAAGCCATGCAGTTCTGTAATACCTTGGACTTTTAGAAGAAAATTTTTAATAGGAAATGAAAGCACTAAGTCTCTATTTTATTTTAATGCATCAAAGAGAACATAAAGTTTTAATCAATCAATTCAGTCCTACTAAAGAGAGTACGCTAGTATGAAAGAGTACTTTAGAGTATGCTAGTAAAATTTTATAATATAAAGCAATTAAACTGCTTTTTGTATTTTTTCTACATTAGTTTAACATAATAAACATATTTAAAAAATTGTGTATGTGTTCCTTATATTTTAGAAGTTATTTACCGGTAATTTTTGATTTCAGGTTACAGTTTATCGTTTGATCCCGATCCCGATCTACTTGAATTTTTGATTAAATAAAATTTAAATGAAATTAACAAGTCTGAAACAAAATATTAATCAAGATCAGGCTGTTAATAACCTTTAATGCACTGAATCATGAATCGATCTTGCTTTCTTGTCAAAATATCGCTAAAAATACAAATATTTGGGACAAATATTGAAAAATTATTTTATACATGTAATACTGTTTAATCAAGTTGTATTTACATAAGTATAAACAGTCTAATTATATAAAATACAGAATTTTTCTAGCATACTCTAGTTCCCCAGTCAATATTGTTATATCTGCATGGCCATGTTATGCATAAAGTGAACAGAGCTCTTTGTGAAAATTTGGATTGAAATAGCTATAAATAAAGCTACCTGAGGTAGGTAAAAAAAGCTACAGTAGGTAATTCTACCTACAGATCCAAATGTTCTGATTGTACTGGACCTGCATATTTATACTCCCCACTTGAAGAGCGGGAGAGTATATAGTAGTTGGTGTGTCGTTCGTCCTTCCGTCTGTCTGTCCGTCTGTTACGCTTTGGGGTACACATCTCATCCGTAACTGCTTTTATACCACTGAATGAAAATTGATGAAACTTTCACAGAATCTTCATTACATATTGCCATTGTGCACCTCCTTTTCTACTTTTTGATCTGACATGTATAGCAAATCATGGACACTGCCATTCATATGGGAGGCGGGGGTATCATTTAGTGAGCTCATTGCTCACAGTGCCTCTATGTGTATGCTAAAATTATTGTGCTAAAAGTATTATAGTGCTTTAATGATGGAATATTCATTACAATGTATTGTTATTTATTCTTTAAAGTTATTCAAGAAAGGACTCCATTGGAAATCAGCTCTCGAGCTTTAATGGGTTATCCTAGTATCTATCTACATAGTCATGTTAATTTATTCATTTATAAAATCTTGATTACCAACTTTCATCTTTTATAAGATCATATATTATTATGTGTATTTGTTTTATGTATGATGACATGATACCAAATAAATACTACTACTAGTTATAGAAATTCAGAGACCACTTCAAATGAATTTCTTAAATCAAGAAGCACTTAAATTTCGTCTAAAACTAACTTTTTTTCCATCTGACTTGTCCTGAACTGTTGTGTTTTGTTGACGGGCTTTCCAGTTGAACACATGCTTTCTTTTACCCATATTTTACACCCCAGTCAAATCCACATGGCTTTGCTTGTTGACAGTGTTGCATGAATCAGCCGAGATGGGCCGAGTGCATCCATTCGGGGCTTTTCGGATCGTACCTGCGAACTCCACTTCCGGAACGGCGATGCGGCTATTTACTCAAAAGTACCCAAAAGGCATCAAAAGGACTCAAAAATAAGAGGATGCTGATAAAACGAAACGGCATATGAAAAAGAAAATTTGATGAGAAATTATTTACTAAAAACAAGTTTCACTTTGTTTGAGTTTTACTTTATTTGAGTTTTTATAAGGTGAAACATGACAACATTTTCTCATGCTATCTTTTAAAACTTTTAAAGGAGATGGCCATGCATATTCTTAAGACAAATTGTAGACACAGGACGAAAGACCACCTTGAAGCAATTGCTTAATGGTGACTTAATGGTGACATAATGGTCAAATGGTGGCTAAGATTAAGAAGTTAATTCCATTAAGCCACAATCATGCCACCAATAATTAAGGTATTCAATACACATGTATAATGAAGGGATTTTGAACAATTTTAATTAATTTTAAACTAGTTAAAACACATTGCTAGATAACGATAAAAGTGAAATGAACCAAACTCACAAGACTGATAACATGTAAGGAGACAGTCATTTTGCACATTACAAGTTTTTGAAGAGTTATCTGCCATTTATAAAAGAGGAAAATTTTTGATTTCTCAAATTTTCTGCGGTAAATAATTCATTATATGTCATAACTTAATAAAAAGGGAGTTTATGCATATTTTCACCAAAAGATTTATGTGAAATTCAAATTACTTTTTACAATATCTTATAAAAAACATGCGCTGCCCATATACTTTGAAAATGTAAAATTCAAGGTGAAATTAATTAAATTAATTTCACAATAATCAACATTTTGTAAATTCCTTTGGTGGAGCATTTTTATTACTTGATATTATCTTCAAAATGTTACCATGATTGAAAATATCGGACCATTTATTGATTAGGTACAAAATATGGTTGTTATACAATTAATACCTTAGCTACAGCTTCTAGGTGCTTGGTGTCCCAACTCCATTAACAGTCTAACTCATGACCAGAAACGAACTCCAACAAGAGGCGATTAAGCCACAACGCTCGCCTGAGAAACTTTGGCCGTGCTGTTCTTCATCAGATTCTGATAACCTTGTATTGTCACAGGAATACCTATTGTGGCCACCATACCCACAGGGATCATCACTGGGGAACTTTTGAATCTACACTGACCACGGATGCTTCCACATAAGTTTCAGCTTCCTGGTTCAGTGGTTCTTGAGATGAAGATTTTTAAAGATTTTTCCTATATAGTTCAATGTAAAACTTGGATTCCCTATTGTGGCCCTGCCCTACCCGCGTGGGTTATGATTTGGACAATTTAGAATCTACACTACCCGAGGATGCTTCCACATAAGATTCAGTTTTCCTGGCCCAGTGGTTCTTGAGAAGAATATTTCTTTAATGACCCCACCCTATTTTCGTTTTGAAACTCCCCTTCACCCAAGGATGCTTGGTAATAAGTTTGGTTAAAATTGGCCCAGTAGTTCTTGAGAAGAAGTTAAAAATGTGAAAAGTTTACAGACGGACAGACAGACAGAGTGACGGTCACCCCAGTCACTAGTACGTACTATATACGCACCCTCCCGCTTTTCAAGCGGGAGTATAATGATAGTATAATATTATTTATTCTGTTATTATTTTTCACCTGCATGCAGAAGACTTTATGGATTTTAAATCTGAAATTAAAGTGTTTGAGCCTTCTCCCCCATTCTTGGTCTTTTGTATGTTTAGTAATAATTCAAGCTACTTTAAATACTTGATAAAAATGTTAAGCTGGTTTAACTTAGTTTGGACATTTAAGTTAAGCAACTCTTAAAGGTGGCTTAATGGTAACTTAATCAGTCTAGAAGAACTCCAAAAAACGACACTCGGAGCTCCTCGGGTGACTCGTACCTCGCACACACTAACCTCGAACGTCAAAGCAATCGCAACTTCTCGGGCCTTTCCGACTAGCGGAAAAACGACCTCGAATGTATGTGTAGACGCCATGACAACCCCCCTTTTTCACGATCTTCGAAATAAATGCATGGAGACCTTTTATCTGAGGAATATGGAGTTTAACTTTATTCATTGTAATGATATTACTTATAGAATATACTATAGAAGGGACTTAAAAATTCGTCTATCCTACATTTGAATAAACAGGAAATATATATTTCTTAACATCCGGTGATGTTAATACATTCGAGGTTGTTTTTCCGACCTCTGACGGAAAGACCCGAGATGATGCGATTGACGTCAAAGGTGTTCTACCATCTTGCTTATAAATTCATTCGTGTGATCTTACAATGAAGCGCATTGAAGTGGTAAAATTTTCCGTTTGGATGGAACGTTTTGAGCTATCTTTAGACACGCCCATTTCTTTAGAAAGGAAAAATCGGTCAAATGATTCAATCGAATACCTGTAGAACAGGTATTCCATAAATATAATAGCCAATCAAATTGACGGTCTACATAAACACCGAGTAAGCACGTGTTCGACTGATACATGTGTTTTATGCTAACTCCAATAAACATGATAAAATCATAATTATGTACATATTCGTTTCAATGCGTTATTTACAGAAGAGGGGACTCTATATATATATCTCTTTCATATTTAAAAATCTTCATTTTAGTGTAAATCATGTTGCTTGTCGCGGAAAGTGGGGTGTACTAAAACATTACGACGAATATTTCTTTCTCATTTCTAAAGAAATGGGCGTGTCGTTATGTTATAATTGACGTTCAAAACATGACTCAGAACGTTTCATCCAAATGGAAAATTTTACCATTTCAATGCGCTTCATTGTATTTGATTTTCATTCAAATGCTATACTTTAAAAATCCGATGAAACACGTTCCATCACATATTTGAAAAAATTTTGGGGGGGGGGGGGGGGTTTAAACACAAATGCAAACACTTGCTTGCTTCTAAAATCAATATATTCAAGCTTCGATGTTACTTTGTGGTAAAACCAACGCTATGTTCTTGCCTTCAAAGAAAACTAATGTATATATGGCTGTAGGTAAAAGCAATATACAAATGAATAAAGAATTAGACAAAGGAGTATTCTACTTAAGTATAGGTCCCTTTTTACACTCTTGGTTTACTGGTTAGATATAAGCAAATGGTATTTTATTTTTTTTAATCCCATTGTGTATAACAAAGTAGCATTGTGTATTTCAGTTCTTTTTTTAAATCTGCATTCCGTTCGTGAAAGAGGGTGTTGCAGACACTCGCGATTATTCCCTATATATTTACATCCACTGAATATTTTCTTCTTTATTTCTTAAGAAACCCCATTGCGTTCATCCCTGCATAAACTACATTAGGCATATCACCTGTACAGATTTCTTGATCTGTGGCCGTTCCATCTATGAAACGTACAAAGACGTTCGCATCATTAACACAATAATTAATATTTTTAATCCTACTTAAAATGATAATTTAAACAGATATAAATATAAACAATAAAATGTCTTTCTTTGTTTGTTGTTACTGGAATGAACGGTCGCAGCTATTGCAGAAAAAATTAACATAACCCGCTTACGCGGGTTATATGTATTTTTTCTGCAACAGCTGCTTCCATTCATTCCAGTAACAACAAACAAAGAAAGCATTTTATTGTTTAAATATCGAGAATGACATTTAAATACCCTCGTTAAGTCTAAATATAGATACAGCTACGTAGAGGACCACTTTTTTAAGCTCACATGGTTTTTCGCACAAATTAAGGTCACATTGTTGTAATGAGAATTACCATTTTCGAACTGCAGTACAATGACATGACCCTTCGTTAGATTACATACATGTATATAATGTCAAGCATAAATGCCTTCTAAAATTATTATCTTAAGTTTCCAAAGTTGATGTTTTAAAGGGGAATTTATAAATAAATGGTAGGGTGTTTTTAATATATGATTCTACCATATGTTTTTACACATTGTATAAAACGAGCTTTCTTTGATACCATGTAGTTGAAAATTTTAAAGTTTATTCTTCAAGGTGTTTTTTTTTAAAATAGTTGCCCATTTACCATACTCCTCTTGGTTTTGTCGAAATGTAGCGCCGAAAAGGGATAACATTGAAGAAGGAAACCACACTAAAGGGTTAAAGGATAATGAAGTATTGTTTATTTATTTGAATAGTAAATTCCTTCTATGAAAAGGAAAATTCTTCTGCATTTACGGTTTGAAATGTTAAAATTTTGCTGTGGGATGAATCTCTCATCATTCTAGATTTTAGAAGTTGACTCTGAAAAATCCCACCTTATTAACATTGAAAGCTGTCAAACAGATGAAAAATACTATTGCCACCCCGTGTTAAAGAGTCAAAATGTACAGAAAATACAAGTTACAGTAGCTGTACTGTGCCCGTGTCTACGTTTCTGCCAAGAGCCATTGCTTTCAAAAGAACGGATAAAAAGACAGCTGCAACTGGCAAGAACCCACATAATTTCAAATGAAAAAAGTTGTTATTTTTCAGCCATGAATATATCAAAGATCTACCAATCGATTTGTGTGAATTATGTTTCAGTAAATGAAATAAAACTCATATTATGTAAACAAATACTTTTAAAATGTATTTTGTTGTCTCAGATACACAATATTACATCATAACAATGTGACCTTAATTTTTGCGAAAAACCATGTGAGCTTAAAAAGTGCCAGCCAGGTATGGTGTGGAATAGGAGTTCAATCACAAAACTGTCACAAAGAATTCAACACGATGTTTTACAGTTTACATGAGGTAGTCGAAATTACAACACAGCAGTATGGTAAGCAAATGACAGTCAAAGCTTTGCCGATTGTCTAAAGATAGTGTGAAGACTGTGGATTTTATCCATGAATAGAAATATAAAGAAACTTTTAAAAAATTAATTAAAAATGTTTTATTAAATAAAATAGATTTTAAATATATATAAAAAAAATTAATAAAATATTCTGCTCAAAGTCCTTCTTTCAACTCCCCGTGGTGAGCAGGAGAAACAAGTCCTATGCATGTATATGTTAAACTTGAAATCAATCTGTACACTCACAAGTGGCTGGCTAACGATATCGGCAATGCAGCGCTAATGTACATTTTATATGTAGCATTTTATATGTAGCAGTGCAGTAATGTAATGTATTTGTAGCGGTAATGACTATGTAGCGGTAATGAAAATTTCGAAAATGTTGCGGTAATGATACGCACCCCTGTGAGTTTATGCTCACGAGTAATCCCCCCGCTGCGATGAGGTGTTGCTGAGAAAAGTGCGATAAAATTTTTGTTATGTATGGTACAGACAGACGCATGTATAAACAGGAAGTTGACGTCTCCCACCATATGACATGCCTCAAACAAGATTGTGATAAAATTTCAAGCATCTGCGATGATTAGTTGCTGAGAAAACTGCGATGAAAATTTGTTATTACGAAACAAACAGACGCATAGATAAACAGGAAGTTGAAATTATATTTAAAGTAAAATGAATCCCACCATATGGCACGCCTTAGAGAGGGTTGTGTTAAAATTTCAAGCATCTGTGATGAGTAATTGCTGAGAAAACTGTGACGAAAAATTTAATATGTATGAAACAAACAGACGCACGGATAAACAGGAAATTGAAATCATATTTAAACAAAAATGGATTCCACCATATGGCATGCCTCAGAAAAGATTGTGTTAAAATTTCAGTATCTGCGATAAGTAGTTGCTGAGAAAACTGCGACCAAAATCCGTTACGGACAGACATTCGGACACGCAGACACACAAGGAAAAAACAGTATATTCCCCCCCCCCCTTTTCTTCGGAGCGGGGTTATAATTATAAACAAGGATTTCTTGCTAAACAAAATCTTGCAAAATGGAGTAGCTCTCATTTGCTTCACTTATCTTTAAAATGTATACTCTGTCCTAATGGAAGCAAAGAAAGGGCACATTTACTTATAATTATTTTTTAATACATTTACATTGAAATTATTGCATTTAGCATTGTTTCATTTGTTTGCTTAGAACTCAGGGGCATAAGAGAAGAATTTCAAATCGTTTAGCAAATTACTCAATGGGGATCCACCCAGGTACAAGAACCCCTGACCAAGGAGTCATGAAATTCACAATTTTGGAAGAAGCACCCTTTCTCATCATCACTTTGTATTGAGTTTGTTTAATTGATACCAAGGAGCAGAGAAGACTTTCAATACATTAATTTACCTTCATAATAATAATAAATAACCATATATATAATTATATATATATTATTTCTCTACTTTTATGACAAAATTCATATAGCACCGGTATTTTTAATACCGGGGTATTTTTGTAATTCAAACACAGTCCCAGAACTTTTAAAGCTTTCAACTGGTAATGCATATTAACAGTTCACTTCTTCCTGTAGATTATTGACAATATAACTCTTTGAAAAATTACGACACAGCTGTCCAAACTTCATTTTAAAAAAAACTTATACAATTTTGAGTTCCATAAATTATAAACAATGAATTTTATGTACAATGAATAATAGTTCTGTGCTTAACAGATGATGCTACTGGTTTTGATGATAAAGACGCAGTGTTATTACTCGTAACTTTTTCCCCCTGTGCACATGATCTTCTAGTTGAAGTCGAATGATTCGGGTTCCATATTAAGCGACAAGAGGCATTTATTTTTCCAAAACTGCACCGCAATCTGAATAAACAAAATATTTTCTGGTTTGTGGAAATGACGGATATGTAATATAAATACATGTATGTAGTAACATTTGTTGCAAAAATTATATTTAGAGTAGACTTTTAACATCAAAATATAATCTTCTAGATTTTGCAGTTTCATTGTGTGTGTTTGGCAGTTATGAAGTAAAAACAAGAAATCAATGAAACACAACGCTCACCCGAGTCTCGCCTCTTCTCTCTATTTTCTCTATTCATTCTGATGAAAAAATCTTACCATTTATAGTGAACCAATCCCAACCCATAGAACCATTGTATTTCTAGTAGGAAATACTAGTTTTATTTAAATAAATACTGTAGGTCACTAAATTTTCGCGACACCTTATTTTCGCGAGATAGTCATCGACTCTTAATTAGCGAGACAAAATTTTCGCGAATTGTGGTTATTGGTCTATATAATCTTAGGGAATACTATTATACGCGAGAATTAAATTTTCGCGAGCACACTGTCTCGCGTAATAACGCGAAAATAAAGTTCTCGCGAATAAAAAGTGATTTACAGTATTATTAAACAATTTCATTGAAAGTTAAAGTTATAAAATGCACTAAAAAGTGTAAATTACTCTAAATATATCTGCAATTTCCGTATCAGTCTTTCATCTTTATTTTATTTTAAATTTTGGTTGAGGAATCACGGAAATAATTGTGGGTCTCAAGTTTATCACAGAAAAAAAAGATACACAACTGTACACTTACTCTTCATTGGATTTTATAACTTTTATAACTTAAATTTTCAATAAAATTGTTTAATATTTAACGAAATAAAATACTAGACTAGTGCATATATATTTCATGGGTATGAATACGTGTATATGATCAGCAATTTTTTTTGTCACAGATGTAGTGCTCGTGTACATCTAATAATATTCACAGAATCTGACACATCTGTTTCATATTATTGAGATATTTTATTGAAAAAGATTTTAATGATAATCTAACAACCAAGCTTTACGATAAACGTGATGATTTTAATTAACTTCATCGTCAATATTCCTTACTTATTCCTTACGCAGCAAAATACCTTCATCAACTGCATACGGATGTTATATCTCACAGTTGATTCGATATACAAGAGCATGTTCTACGCATGCGCAATTTCTAAAACGAGGTAGGTTATTGACAAACAATTAAGTTGATGAAAAACAATATCGTCAGTCTCGTTTGAAGCTATTATTTCGTAAGTTCTATGGTCGATACAATATGACCTTGTCAGCAAATAAGAGGGTTGTTCAAAAAGTCGTGGACGAACGGGGAACTTTTAGTGAACCGGTGTAAAGACGAATAATGACCCCCATCGAATAATGACCGGGGGTCATTTTTCAACGACAAAAAATGACCCCCTACCCGTAGAAAAAATCATTTTTTGTAGAAAAAGTGTCATAGGGGTCATTATTTTATATGTTAGTCCTATAAAAAATTGACCCCCATTGAAAAATGACTCCCTTTAAAAAGAGATTCTTTAATTGTCAAGTAATAAAATTTCTTTTTAATTTCCTCCTTATAGTGTTTGCTTAAAGAATAATATTCCACTTGTTTTTAGAAATCAAACCATGCAACAATCAGGTTCCAATACTCTTTAATAGAAAAATTAATTTTTCCTTCATTTCAACTTTTAGCTTGTATAAGTTTGGCAAATCGGTTAATCCTTTCTCACAGTGAAGAGGAGGAAAATTTTACCCCCCCCCCCCAAAAAAATTACGTTAAATCAAAACTAAAAATAAATAAATGAAAAGCAAAAATATAAATAAAACTCTATACCTTACAATAATACTGAAAGAGGCTCTAGATAAAATATTGAAATGAAGTTAAGCCTTCACACAAGTTCTATATCATATCATAATTTACTTCGCCATGATTAAAGCATACTTTAAATGTTGGTGGGGGGTATACTTGAAAGTATTGTGGCAAAGTAACAGTTGAAAATTAGTAGAATAGTAGATTATTTTAAGCTTATTTTTAGTCCCTCCTTATAGAAAAATAAAGGTAGGGTAGTTTTTTTTGTTGTTGCTTTTGTTGATAATCGACTTCCTCCTAAATTAGTAAGGGGATGGGTGGGTATAACACCTGAAAGCATGCTCTGTAAAGCTATGGGCTAGTGTAAAACACACATTCTAATGCAAAAACTATGCATGTAGACATAACCTTTTTATTTAGCACACAGTATTCATTACATTTCTTAATTCTTGTTTTACTCCACCCTTTTACCCAGTTCTGAGTATATTTTTCAGAGAATTTAATACGAAAATCAGAACATTTTCATTTTTGTAACGTTTTCTTTATACTGTATTATAATATGAAAAGTTAATTGAAGACCATTTCTTTTTATGTCCCTGTAATCGAAGATTCGGGGGTATATAGTTTTATCGTGTCCGTCTTTATGTCTGTCTGTCTATCTGGCGGTCTGTTTCTCCGTAAAAACTTTAACCTTGACCATAACTTTTCATTCATTATATCTATGCCTTTCATATTCAATATGTGTATATTCCTTGTGACAAGACCTTACTTTGGGTACCACCAAATTTGACCTTTACCCTGGAGTTTGTCCCATTTTACAAAAAAAAAATGCCAAATTTTTAATTTACTTTGGCTATAACTTTTTAACTGTAGATACTAGTACTCTCATACTTCACAAATGTAATCCTTGTTACATTGAAACTTTCTTAAGAAACCATCAACTTTGACCTTTGACCTTTGAGTTTGACCTACCTTTCAAACACTTATCCTTAGCCATTAACTTTGAACAAGTGGTGCTAGGGCTTTCCTATTTTTCAGTTGTATTTCTTGTAAGAAGACCCTACTTTGGGTACCATTATATTTAAATTGCATTAAAAAAGTTTAATCTTCGCTATGTTGCCATACAGGGGCATAGCTGTTTCACAAACACATTTTTTACATATAAGAGGAGTTGCGGATAACAGATGGATACCCCAAAGCGTAACAGACAGACGGACGTCCTGATCACTATATACCCTCCCGCTTTTCAAGCGGAGGATATAATAATATGTTATACTGCTGATTTTTTCTGCCAGTACGATGATTTCCACCATCGAAAAACAATGTTTACCTAACCCTTTAGGCTCGATAAATCTTTACTCCTTTAGATTCTGAATCATCGCATTGACCTTAAGGTTTCGTCAAAGGTCAACATGTCCAAAAATTTTTTTTTACAATAGCCCTAAAACTATGTGAGTTATAAATTTAAAACTTTTACAGTTTATAAATTTTTCATTGATTAACAGATAGAAAGTATCACTTGATAAAAAGATAAACTTGGAAAAAATACTAATTGAGAAAAACTCTTCTTAAAAATGCATATATTTTCAAAAAATACACCTAATTTATTCCGTGCTCTTAGTGAAAAACATCATTGCAGAAACAAAATATGTTTATCAATGAAGGGCAAGTTGGACTTGGACAGCTTCTGGAAAGTTGTTTTCCCTGTTTATTTTGTCCAAATGTTAAGACTTGAAAGTGAAAGTACATTGCAAATGGCAGATTTTAAAGGGGTCTTGTCTTTATACATACATGTATCATGCTTTCAATAACAGCCTTTCAGAGACCATTCATGTCCAACTTGCCCTTCAATGATAAACATATTATTTCTGCAATGTTGGTTTTCACAAAAAGGACAGAATTAAGTAGGTGCATTTTTCTTTATATATGCACATTTTCTGATACAATTTTTCTAAAAAAAAATATCTTTTAAAAATATTTTTTATCAAGTGATATTTTTTATCTATTAATCAATGATATATTTATAAACTGTAAACGTTTTGACTTTTTACCACACATAGTTTTGAAGCTATTGTAAAAATATTTTTTAGACATGTTGACCTTTGACGAAACCTTAAAATATAGCTATAATCGTATGTTATGAGATCAACATATCATCAATTTATTCCAAATAATCTCAGGTGAGCATTTTGGCCAATACGCTTCTTTATCTAATTTTTTTTTTTTTGCTCCTTAAAAATTTCAGCTTTAATCCACAGGGAGTCATTTTTCTATGGGGGTCATTTTTCTTCACGTGGGTTCTGCAAATTTTTAGGGTGGTGACACTTTTTCTACGGGCAAAAGAGTCATTTTTCTACGTCGAATAATGACCGGGGGTCATTTTTCGCTGTCGAAAAATGACCCCCGGTCATTATTCGATGGGGGTCATTATTCGTCTTTACACCGGCCGACCGACCGACAGACGTCAGACAGCAGTATTTAAAGCAAAATGTCCTTCCTTCTTCGAAGAGGGAGGGGGCATAAAAATTAGAAAATTTGGAAACTGACTAATTTTCCTACCTTCCTGTGAACTCTGTTTATCCTGTAACTTAGAAACAATAATCATTTTATGGCAGGGGTAAAAGCGGATTTTTATTGATAAAAATTGCATCTTTCTAAAAGACACACCAAATCAGGGACCAAAAAGTGGTCTTAGTCTACTAGCATCTTGTCCTTTATGCCAAAGACAAACAACAGATTTCGATCAGAAGGGATTACTTGGTTGTGCTTTTGGCTCTGATGAGCTCATAATCTGGTAAGGTTTAAAGAGACATGTACACAGTTTCAACTGAATCTTTTAGAAAATATTATATGTTTACAATTCCTAACTTAGGCATCATCTAATGATCAGCAAAAATTTGAACATCATTTTTTGATTAACAAACGAGATACAGAACTTAAAGTTCTTCACAATGTTAGCAAGGTTAGTGCCTTGTTTATGTTTACATATAGAACGTATCATATTTCTAACAAAAGAAATTCAGCAAATCACTAGAAACTCTAATCAAAATTATCTGCTTTGGACGAACATATATTAGTATATTAACATATATGTAAATAAAAACATGACACGGACCCTGTTTACAAATGAAAGTTTGGAGCTCTAAATCTGTCTTGTATCTCGACGACTGAAGTTCTAATTTTATATGACCATTAGAAAGACCTTTGTAAAAATGGGAAAATAAATTTGAAATTTAATTTTTTTAGCTGAAACTGTGTCCATGTCCCTTTAACCAATATGACTTACTCTCCATTGATCCCTTTTACATACTGTCCGATCAGACTCCCCTTGTTACACTTAGTGGCCTCAGCAACTGTTCTGTCATTATTGTTGATCCCAACTTGAGCTGGCTCTTCTCTTTCTTGCGTAGGATCTGTTGTCTTCAAATTTTTTATGACAGACATATGATCAATGTATTTTATCTACTTAAGGAACGATGATACAAACAAAAAAGGATGCTGGATTGGTTTTTTTTCTCAAAATGATGTGAATAACAAATTTATAAGAAAGTGACATTAGTGACACTTTTGAATATGCACACGATATTGAACTCTATTCACTAGGTTTTAGTTGGTAAGGTAAACATTGAATTTACTGTGAATTTGTTAATATTTATTTCATACTACGACACCAAAAATTCAGTAAGAAAATACATGTAACATATGGAAAGCAAAATTAACGTATATTCAAATATTTGAATCTATCTTTTTAAAAATAATTGAACCTATCTTCAAATAATTAAATTGAACCTATCACTAAATAGGTTGAAGATTGGTACAACTGAAGAAAAGATAGGTACAAATAAATTGAATTAAAGATACGTCTAAATAAATTAAAGATGGGTTTAAATTATTAAACTTATCTCTAAAGAATTAAACCTAGGTTCAAATGAATTACACATATCTTGAATGGAATTACACCTATCTTTAATTCAATTTTTATTAAAGTAAAAAAGTCAATTGAATAATACATATTTTCAAATTGATTTAAAGATAGATTTAAAGATCGGCAGAATTGATTTGAAGATTAGATATATTTACAAAGGATTTGAAGATAGGTACAAGTCAAGTATTCCCAAGATGAATTCTTTTTCTGAAGAAAAAAGTTCCCTCTAACAGCGACCTGAACATGGAGGAAACTACGTAAAAATTTTATTTAAAGATTGGTACAAATGATTTGAAGATAGGTACTATTAATTGAAGATAGGTTAAAATATTTGAATATGCTCGTACAAGTATTAGTTAGGCGTTTCATAGTAACAAACATTGAAAAATTCAGTAAATACGAGAGTTGATCCTAAAGTTCGTAGAATTTTTTAAATATTTTTTTTATTTATTAGTGGAAGTAATTGAGAATTACAAACGTTTGAAATTTGACGAGTAGCCGGGTACCTCAGATAAGCCTTATTGAGACTTGTCCTTTATTTGACTTACCGTAACGTTTTTCCCTATAAGTTTGAAATTTCATTGTGCCATGATTTGAACAAACTTGAATCTACACCACCTGAGGATGCTTTCATATAAATATGATCAATTATGGTTATTTTGTTCTTGAGAAGAAGACTATATTGTATTCATATTAAGCATAATAACAGATGGTCATTTCCATTCTTATGTCGATACGATACATCCCGGTGAGCCTGAGATAACGGATACCACAGAGTCTGACACATTTGTTTCGTATTTCGATATTACACTTGAAAAAATGTTAACAGGCAATCTAACAACTAAGCTTTATGATAAACGTGATGACTTTAACTTTTCAATCATCAACTTCCCTTACTTATGCAGCAATGAACCTTCATCATAGCATATGGAGTTTATCTCTCTCAGTTGATTCGATACGCATGATTGTGCTCTTCGAATGTACAGTTTCTAAAACGAGGTAGATTATTGACAAACAAATTGATGAAACAAGAATATCAGCAGTCTCGTTTAAAGTCGGCATTTTGTAAGTTCCATGGTCGATACAATTACCTTGTCAGTAAATTTAATTTATCGTTGAGTCTAATGCTGACTGTCGTTTTCATACTTATTGTTTGGCCATTATTTATACACTGTATTGTTGACGGATTTCCCGTTCTTTCCCGATCATTACATGAAGCACATGGCGGGTGTGACCGGTCAGCAGGGGATGCTCACTCATACATGTGTCCTGATACCACTTCTGATGTTTTGGAAGTCTGTGTTTGCCCTGCTCCTATTTTGTAATGTTTAATGAACTTTTGAGCTATAATACTGTTCGCTATCTCAATGTATTCCACTAAAGATTTTCTAATTCATTCCTATTGTAAACTGGATTGTCAATTGTTACCCCACCCTACCCCCGAGGGTCATGAATTGAACAACTACCTGAGAATGCTTTCATATAAATATGACCAATCATGACTTGTTTGTTTTGGAAAAGACTTTTAAATATTTTTCTAATATACTCCCATGTAAAAGTTTGATCGTCTATTGTGGCCCCACCCTACCCCCGGGGGTCATGATTTGAACAAACTAAATTTACAATACCTGAGGATGCTTCATCACTAATTTTATCTTTCCTTACCCAGTGGTTCTTGAGAGGATGTTTTATTTAAAACAAGCAGCCAAATTTTCACTATTTCTTAATTATATCCCCTTGAAAGAGGGCGTGGCCCTTCACTTGTATAGAACTGAATTCCCTTCATCCAAAATTGCCTTGTGGCAAATTTGGTTGAAATTGGCCGAGTGGTTCTGGAAGAGAAGATGAAAATGTGAAAAGTTAACAGACAGACGGATGCTGGACAAATTGTGATCAGAAAATTTCATTTGGGCTTTCAGCTCAAGTGAGGTAAAATAATTGTCATATGAAGGAAGTGGGTCAGAGAGACTACCCAAACTTTTCTTGAGAATCTCTCATTTGAGTTGACGGTGAGACGCTTCTAGAACAGGACATGACATACTGAAACTTTACGTCTAAGTTTCCCCGGATTTTTCACCTGTCCATGTTCAAAAAGCTTGTGCGACCTCAAAGGTACTAGTAATTAAAACGTGGTGAATTTTTCAAGTATTGTTGCATAATGACTCTATTGTTTATAAATATGTCTTCTAGCTGTTTGTTTTCTTCAAAACACGATAAAATTTTAGAAAGAAAATCTACAAACTTAGGGTCGACCCTCGTACATGTATATTCTAACTGAAAACAGTATATTCAATTATTTTCCTAAGCAGAGTAGGAATTTCAGGTATTTCCTAAAATTTAGGAAGTACATGAAATTCTTGATTACAAATATTAACTGTAATCGTACATACCACTTTTCTACTCAATTTACGGTACTCTTGATTGTTTCCAGGTCTTGGAGAATTTGGAGCTCCTTTTTCTAAGTGCGGCGTATTTACATATTGACTCGCTTCTAGAGCCATACTTTTACTTTTGTCAATTTTCGTTGATTTGAGGAAAATATATCTATGTCTTCCTAATTTTCCTGCTGGCTTTGATTTAGTCGGTGAATGAGATACTTCATTACCTAGCGGATAAGATAGTTTGTTTAATTTCGTTTTGTTTCTACAATCTCGAGAAAATTCAACGGTGTCATCAGCCGTTTTACCCGTCGCATTCTCTATGCAGATTTCATTATTTCTTTTTGCGTGAGAAGAAAGTACAGAGCTCTGTGTTGGAAGTTGAGGAATCTTGTGACTGTTTTGGGGTGTTTTATGAACTGCCCCTGTTGTAGACGAGGATATATCAGAAGCTGAAGCCCCTTTTTCATCAGAAGTGCAGTCGGGACAAGAAACTTTCTTCTCTGGATGACGTTTGAAAGGATATGCAGGCTGCTTACTCCCAAAAAACGGTTTCACGGAGAGTTGTTTTTTATTGACATCCAATTTATCCGTATTAGCTAAACCTTTCGTTAATGTAATTTCTTCGCTGTAGTCAGCTTCTCTATCCGACTCTACCAACTAAAAAAAGAGACGTACGGGTCTTAAAAGATTTCTGTGAAAAAAAATTAAAAGAAACAGAATCTATATGTAAGTTAGTCATATCTGAAGGAATGATGATGTATATCTTACTTTCTTTAATAACCAGAGTGGTATTTGTTTTGTAAATTCTCGGTTATCTGTCATCTCTCCTTGTCGAAGTTTCTTCGCCAACATAGTGTGAACTAACTGCCTAGCATCTGAGTGGGTATGAATGACTTTCTTACTCTGTCTCCGTGATGATGCTTCTTTAGGATGAGGCAATAAAGCGGTGTTAGCTTTAGGTGTCATCGGCCATGTTTTTGGACGTTTGAGGTTGTAATCTGGTATTGGGGAATATGTAATATTATTTTACAGCATAGTAGATCTCTTTATTGTACCGAGAAGTTCACAGTATTACCTTTAGGCCAAAGGGCCTTAGCCGTCACTTGTGTATAATACAATATTGTAAAGGATTTATTGAAGTATGACTAAAACGAAATAACTTTCCAGATGAAATGTCTAGTTATTTTAACTATTAAGTGTGCATCGTAAAGCATTCGTTGAGTTTCGTAATCATTTTGTTTACTGGCTAAGATAGTGAGAAGTGGAATGGGGATCGAAAAGGCACACAGTTACCTAGTGAAAGTTAATTATAAATTTTAGATTTACTAAAGTTATCTTTGTAAATGTACCCAATACCTGGTAAAACTACTTTTGAGGTAGTGATTGTATGGACAGTAAATTTACTAGTCTTCTGCTAGTTATTTTTGTCAGTGTATCGCCAAAGAGCAATATATAGGATGTTCATATCAGGTACATGTATCAAAAAAGTTACTTTAGCATTCAAATCTTAAAGAAGACCAATCTACTTGTCTGTATTTGCCATTAAATACATTCTGTATATCAAATATACAAGCATACAACATTTTACATCACTTTTTTCGGTCATGGCAGAGAGCATTACCATATTTGGTAATGTTAAATGGACATTCTGAACTCGAATACTGTTCGTTATCTTCATATTTTATCCAGAACTGCAATTAAGAACAGGTTAGGAGAATCAAATACCAGTTGATTTCGGTATGCGTGTGAAATGTGTATTATATAATTATGTATATAAGCCAAAGTAAAAACTAATGTAGGTAAGGAAGTTTACCAAAAAATTGTCGAATAGATTGAATCAATTTATTCCTTTTCCTTGTAAATGATTTATGTTTCATATATGTGGCAAAGTATGACGACTTTTTCAGGTATCAATTTATGTTTTTACTTTTGAATTTATCAATTATCGGCGTTTAAATTAATGATAGTGCCTTTTTATACATACCCATGTCTTAAAGAAGATGGGGGATAAGGCGGACGAAGTGCCTACAGTGCGACAGATAAGGAGTAGAAAATTTAATCTCCATCATATTCAAATTTTATTTCATATTTCATCTAATATTAAAGTATACTTAATGTAAAATCTCTATAATTTACAAAAATCTCACAAAGACTGAAAATATCTGCCTATGAAAAAGCATACACACACTAAAAGGAACAAAAACGATCATTTTCTCATACTTGAACATTTTTCAAAATGAGTGGGTCTTCGCCCCATTTTTTTTTAAAGATAATCCTAAAAGTTTCCAATACAATATACATTTTTTGGTTTACAAAAACATGGAGCGAAGAACCACTATACCTTAAAAGTACACTTTAATGACAAAACATTCGTATCTTTCCGAGAAATATTTCAAGTCCATTAAGTCAAGGGTCATATCACAAATATTGATTTAAATGCCAAAAATCATCTTGAGCATGTAGCGAGCATAGTGGTTAGCGCGTTAGTCTCAAATCTATACGATACATCGGATTTTTATTGCTTAGGTTCGAATCCCTCGAATATCATCTTATATTTTTATAAAAGAAAATTTATACGAGATTTTTTTTCTCATAATTTCATAAATTTTAATAATGAGAAGTTAATTTAAATACTCAATTCACATATTGAATATTTCTTAATTTCCGACGCTATAGGCATTCTGCACGCCTTGTTCCCCCATCTTCTTTCAAAGAATTAAATGATTAATTATATTCTTATGCCGATAAGTTACTCTGGGGAAAATGGCTCGGTCGTACCCAAAACATGACCTAGATATTTTAATTATAAATCTGTATTTAGATATATGCAACCTATGCAAAGAAAATGAACGGACACTGCATATGATTGGAATTTTTTGAAGTCGAATAGGCATAAATTTGTCCAAAATAGCTCGATCGTACCCAGTCTGTAACTTTCACACAGAGTTCAACCTTCCCATGTTCTGCGATTAATAGTATAAAGAATTTGGTTTCAGATGTATGAACATAATGCAAGCATTTTATAGCTAGGTGTCAGATTCAGTTCTAGATAATGATTTTGGAGTACATGTATAGTAAATATATATAATGTTTGAGATACTAACGTTTCCGACTTTTGAGGGTGACTGTCTCCCCTGCATCATGATTCAGCGTCACTGTCCCTGTAACAGTTGGTTGTTTGGCCGATACCGTAGTTTTAAAGCAGGCATGATGAGATTCCTGCACTGGCACTGGAGTTATCCCCAGATGTTCTTTTGGAGTGGATTGTTTAATTTTTTGTGGAACACTATGTGAAGCCTGTACCTGTTAATAGAAGTTATATTGTTGGTGAAATTAACAAAACAAAGGAGCTCGAACTTGATATTCAGAATAAATAACTTGTAAAAAAAAAAATCAGTTTGTTAGTTAAATTAGTTATTATAACTTTTTCAATAGAGGATCATACTCACTCCCCCCTTTACATGATAAAGTTGCTGTGGGTTCGATTTTTTGCTGATCAACCAGGAATCTTCGTGTACTTCTCTAATAGAAGGGCGACAGCGAGGGGAATATCGCAGCAATCTTCTTATCAATGACATGCAATCTATTATGGCAGAAAAAAGTGGAAACTGAGATAAAGAAAAGTCAAATGAATGTCTTCCCTTTAGCATGTACATATACATGTATACACCCTATCACTCTGGCACACGTGCTTGTTTAAAGAGTGGCCTGTTATCATTGCTCATTCACTTTGGTTCTGATGTTTAGGAGGATTTAAAAAAAAAAAGTTTCTCCCTTTTATTTCTATTAAAATCAAAGTAAAGAAAGAACTGAAAGCCGGGTTTTAATTATTGTCTAATCCAAAATAAGAGCATATTTAAGAATCTTTCTTTCTGACCATTGATATTCAACAGGTAGAGTTTGTTTGATTATACACTGTAATTAACAATAACCTATCAACCAATAATTAAAACTAACGGTCCAGAGCCAACATTTGACCCCAAGTTAGGACTAAGTTGGTTATATTTCTAATGAAAATACATTTACAATTTGTAACTGAAAAATAAGCTGACAATTGGAATGCGAGATGATGGTGCACTTGGGAGGTCAACATTACCGCTACATTGCCAAAAATTTCAACTCATTACCGCTACATTTTTCAGATTTTCGACTGATCATTACCGCTGCATTACTCCGGCCAAAAACTCATTACTCATTACCGCTACATATTTTGAGAGGTTCTGCTGATTAACAGAGGCAAATAGTATCGGAGGAGAGAGGAGTGACGCCATTGTTTTAACATAAACATTGACGATGGAAAATGGGGTGCGTATCATTTATACCGCTACATTATGTAAACATTGAACGGTTGATTGACTCTTCGCAATCAAATATAAATTTATTTAGACCTTTCATCTCATTCTCCGTAAATTCACAAGCGACGAACAGGTTTACTAAAAGCAAAATGGATGGTTTAGATCTATATGTCATGTTGGAAATTTTGAATTTACCGGGTGGCAGTAAACAAAATTTACAACATGACATGATTTGAAATACATGTAGTTAAAAAAAATTTCATTTCTTTTCTTCGTCCACTACTCAATTGAAAATTATACTCAACCTGGTCGACCAAAAAGGTGTGTTACATGTATTACATTTTGAGTTCATGTCTTTTGCTTAATCTCGACACAAATTGTATGCCTTGATCTCGACGCAAAATATAATAACGCAAAATGTAATAATCCTAAAAGTGTGTCGTTGCATTTTGCGTCATTACATTCTGCATAGATTTCGACACAAAATATAATAACGCAAAATGCATTACTAGTAATCCCGGGTTTATTACATTTTGCGTTGCTATTACATTTCGTGTTGTAACAATGCCCTAAATATTATATTTGTCCTGTCCTTGAATAGTTATCACTTTTTGGTTTAATTTAATAAAAATCAAGTCTTAAAACATACTTGGTGAAAAAATATTTTTCATTCGTTTTTCTATATCTGATGATCAAATACATCTTTCCACCACAGTAAATAATAAATTATTTTTCTTAGTATATGATTACTTCTTTCCATGGTCTTCAATGCAAACTCCAGTAATTAACTTCTGCTTAGGTGATAAAATGAAAACTTGTCCGGGTTAAACCTTTTCCATTCTAAAATGCTTTGAAATAATACTCCGGGTAGCTAAATTTGTTTGTTTGCATTTTTTAAAATGAAAATAAAAACGCCAACGACGACTATATTAACGACACCAAGTGACAAATGTTGCTTAGAAAAGATGCAAGAGCTTTTAGCTTGGCGCTGGTGAGCTATATACTTTCAGTGTATTTACGGTACTTTCAGTGTATTTACGGTACTTTAAGTGTATTTATGGTATTTTCAGTGTATTTACGGTACTTTCATTAATACAAAGGATACATTACCGAAAGAAATATTTCGTTCAAATCGTAGTCTTTGCATCTTCATTTCTTCCTCCATTTCTTGAAGTTGTGAGTCATTGAATGGCAGACGACCATTAACCATCGCAAACAAAATTATTCCTCTTCAAAGAAAGAAAATATTTAATCAGTCAGAAAATTATAGATTTACAACAAAGTCCATCTATTTGGTGCACACGTATCCCCATAAGTAGTTTATACCGGTGTTGTAGAGTAGGATTTCCCTCATAGCCAGCTTTACCCCCGGAAGTACTTTAGAAGTACCCCAACCCCTTGGGAAAATCTCAAACCTGAGCAAAATCCCCTCCTTCTCTTTCTGCCTCTTATATAGACTAATAGCTCTTTAAATCTCATACAAATGTTTTCAGTAAGAAAAATGTACGAGGAAAAAAGTGAGAAAATGATTTAAAAAAAAAAAAAAAGAAATCTCGGACAGCATGCAATAGTCATGTGACCGCGACTTTTCTTAAATCATTTATTCTTAACCTGGCTTCAGCGACAAACTTTAAAAAAAAAAATAAATTCAGATATTCTATGTACAACTTGGTTAGTGATTGTTATGTCTGTAAAGTCTCATAAAGGTTTGAAAAGCCATCTACGAAAACACTCGAGTAAACTATGATTAACCAAAAAAAATCCCGGTGGATGGAGAGATAGTCCATTTTTTGTGGAAACCACTTTGATGCAGTAGAAGGAATAACTCTTTCAATTTTCCTCAAGATCGCTTGCATAATTGGGTAAAACTTGTGTTTTCACTAAAGAAATCATCGGAAAACGGAAAAAAATTTAAAAATATCTTTCCCCCCGTGAAACAAAAATTCCTCTTTATAGCTAATATGGACTCTCATTTTACAAATTCAAACCAAAGCTTTTTGTGTTTCATATGGGGAAAATATTTTATAGGAAAAAATGCTTATTTTTCCTCCAACTAAAGCATAGTAATTTATCAATTTTATAATATGTTTAATTTATTTTCGTACAACACAAGAAAAGATATAAGGAACATTTCATCATATCCCAGACTATTTCAAATTATGTTGATGCTTGAGAGTCCGATGTCAATGGAAAATATCGTCTACTCTCCTTATTTCAAGAGCTGGAATAAGGAATAATTTACTATTTAGCGTTTGTGTTAAAATACTTAAACAATTACCATTGAACTGTTCTTCGTATTAAACAAAGATTTTATGGACAGATTGCCATTAATATTGAATAAATTGGACGCAAAATGTAGGCGGGAATAGAGAGTTAGCGTGCGTAGTTCTTTTAGAGATTTTATCATAAATTTTATTTTTTTTAAAATTAAATGGGAATCTAGTTTTTATACATCCCAGTCAAAGAAAATTTACATGAAATTTATATTCACTGAGAGTAGAGTATGGGAAAAACTGCCAGGCAATTGTAAACAAATGGACTTATACAACATGTACAAAGGAGCGGAGAAAACCCAAATTTTACCATTGTAAAACAATTGTATATAATGTGAGCATGGATAATAATAAAAATGAAAAGTTACGTATTGTATTAAGAGTATAAAATGACTGGATAATGCATCATGTCTTTCCGAGAGCGGTTTGAAATTCTGACCTTTTTGAAACGTACATGTAGTAGGCCCCGTACCCCTACCAGTGATTTGCCCTGGGCCCAATGGGGATTTCAATACAGCCCGAACCCCTACTTTCTAATCTCCCTCCCCTGGTTATGAAATTCCTGGATCCGCCGCTGATTTTTGACAATCATGCAAAACAATGAAACACATATTGAAAGTCACATAAATAAATAGTCTTTTATAGTTTGAAAATTCAAAGAAAGTAATGTCAATGCTTACTTTTTTTTTCAAATTCAAGAGTGCATATTTCAGGTTAACTATACTCAGTAGTTTACGAATGCTTATCTAAGTTAATCTGTCGGTAATAAAACGTTAACAATAGATTTTATTGATAAAGATAGATTCACGTCTGTAAACTATAATTTACAATCGTGAACTATAGTTAAGAGTTGTTAATCATAGTTTCACAAATCGTAAAACTATATTTATCACGATTGTTAACTATAGTTAAGATCTAGAGTTGTAAACCATAGTTTACAAATCGTGAAACTGTATTCATCAGGTAATCTATGTTTTGCATTCGCAAATGATTGTTTTCAGTGTTAAGTATAGTTTACAGTTCAGAAACATCGATTATCGCGTTAACTATGGTTAACAGATGTAAAATATACATGTAGATTAACATTGTTTTAAACTATAGTTTACAGTCTGTAAACTATAGTTTACGACCGATAAACTTAGTTTATCGACTGTGAAAGTATGTTCAGCACATTTTTGTGAATTTGGCGTGCCATAAGTATCATTCAGTCAAACGCGCTCGTTAATGCAAAGCTTTAAAGTTTAAACGGATAAAAAGCCTTTATTTAAATGTAATGTGCAAAATACTGCGCAATGGAAACCCCAGCTGGAGATATGACAAAGGAATACTTACAAGCTCCATACATCTGAGTGAAAGCCATCATATGAGCCCTTTTTAATAACTTCAGGTGCAGTGTACGCATATGACCCACAGGAGGTTTCTAACATTGTTTTTCTTCCGTTGCAATTCCGAGAGAAACCAAAATCTGTATGTAAGAGATACACAGCATGCATACATTAATAGCACGGAGGTTGGGGAGGGTTCAACGTCAAGAAAAAGAACATTAACCAACTCCGAATTTATTACGGAAAAGAAATAAACTCACACATTATATGATAGAGAGAGTACAAAAATTGATTTTATAAAATGTTTTATTAATTTGGAAATATATATTTTAGAATTTACAATTTTAAAGAACATTGAATATACAGTAAAACTCGTTTAATACGAACATGGATATTGCGAATTCACGGATATATCGAAGTTATATTGTATATCCAGTTACATAAAAGTTAACGATTTCCTTATAACGAAATATGGATATAGCGAAGTAATTTCACAGGTCCCAGTGACTTCGTTATAACCGAATTTTACTGTATTATGTCTATGCAAAATTTGGTTAGTATTGGTTGCATGTTTAAAAAGTTATAAACATTGTTTACGAATTTTTGGAACGACCTTAATACATGTTATGGTCAACACGTTGGATTTTCATGCGAGTGGCTTTTTAAAAATCATTTGTGTCATCTATAATTTACGTTTTTATCTTAATTTTCTATGTGATCTGCTAAAGTTTGTTTAAATGTTGAGGTTTTCATTGAAAATGGAATACCGAAAATTTTGTTACTATATTAACACCTTTAAACTGCCTTACGCTTGTTACCTCAGGCAATGAGTGCAAAGAACATCAATGATTGGTTGGTTAATAAAACACTGGTATGTTGCAACCACTATTGAAATACGACCACTATTGAAATATGATCACTATTGAAATAATTATTTCAAAAGTGGTTGAGAGGGCATTTCAATAACAAACATAGGTTGCAACCACTATTAAAATACGACCACTTTTGAAATAATTATTTCAATAGTGGTTGAGAATGCATTTCAATAACAAACGTAAGTTGTAACCACTATTGAAATACGACCACTATTGAAATAAATATTTCAATAGTAGTTGAGAATGCATTTCAATAACAAACATAAGTTGTAACCGCTATTTAAATACGACTACTATTGTAATATCTGTTGGAATCATTGTTTAAAGCACTATTAAAATCAATAATATTTCAATCACTAATGAAATATATATTTTAATCACTATTGCAATCAATATTTCAAAAGTGAACATTATTTCAATAGCGGTTGCAACAATGTATTTAGTATTGAAATGTACTACCAATCACTATTGAAATACTTTTTTTCAATATATAGTTGTGGTATTTCAAAAGTGGTTGCAACCTATGTTTGTTATTGAAATGCACTCTCAACCACTATTGAAATAATCATTTCAATAGCGGCGTTATTTCGATAGTGGTTGCAACACTGGTATAGTGGTTTGGTTTCCATATTTAATTTTCACAAAGGTGAACTTAGTTTAATCGTGATTGTGTTTACTTTCAGCTTAAGAAAGATGGGTGAACATGACGAGCGAAAAGGTTATAGTGTGAAAAACTTAAAGGTGATAAATTCAATCTCAATATACTTTATGTAAAATCTCAAAAATTATTTAAAAAATATTTCACAAAGTTAATATTAAATAGTTACAAAATTTTATAAACACACTAAACAGGGTAAAAAATCATTTTCTTATAGTTTACTATAACAATATTTTTCAATATGAGTGGGTCTTTGCTCCATTTCAATAAAAAAAATTATCGCAATTCTCTGTAACCTTCTTTGCCACGCATAGTCACCGATGTTGATGAAACCCTGCCCATTATTAGTACTTGACAACAAAAACAGATTTCAAATAAAATTTGGTTCTAATGTCAGCGTCTTTGTTGCCATGGTTAGAGTCAGGAAATTTTGAAAAATTGAGATTTTCAGCTACTTTAAATCTTTATTGAGTTTAATTAGAATTAGGATTTGCCTGATTTGAGTTTACGGTATCATTTCACAGAGAGGTGTAGGAATTCTGAGAATATGCGTGCTGCAGCTCTTGTATAAAAGTTAAACTCATTATAGTGAATTACTCTTAATCTCCAAACCTTGCATAACTAGAGGCACTGTGAGCAATGAGCTCACTAAATGATACCCCCGCCCGTACATGTGAAATACTATTTAAAAATATACCCTAACCTGTTCAATGGCATTTATTTTGTGTTATTTAGAATTTAAATTTAATATCTCGTAATATCCGAAAGGTGAGACTCCCCCATTTTCCCTTCAAAAAGACATCTCAGATTGTAATACATGTACATAAAACTAAAATTCTCTCAATTTTTTTACTTTCCAAAAAGAAATCCATAAAACTGCGTTAAAATAATTTCACTTACCTGTTATCTTAAGTTCGTTATTTTCACCAAGTAATATGTTTTCACACTTTAGATCTCTGAAAATAAACAGACTTGATAGAGAGAGAGAGCTGTGCCTCTGAAAATGATCTTTTTTCATTAAGGATATCTACTCCTCAGTAAGGAAGAATAACTCCTTTTAAAAACATTATAAATTTTTAAACAAGGGCCCAATGGGCCACAACACCCTGAGTAACTTTGGCCCTGCTGTTCTTCACCAGCTTTCCCCCACATGTAATACCGATGGTCTGAACTGATAATCTACACTTCAACAGATACTTCTACATAATTTTCTGCATATTTTCTGGCCCAATGGTTGTTGAGAAGATTTTTAAAGGATTTTTCCGATATATTTTTATGTAAAACTTCGATTATTTTGGTCCTGCCCTACCCGGGAGTATTTTTATAAAAAATTTAAAATCTTCACTCCCCAAGGACCTTTTCTAGCCCAGTTGTTCTTGTGAAGATCTTTTAAAAAAGATTGTCCTTTATATTTCCATGCAAACTTGCATTCCATACTGTGGAATTCATGATTAAAGGTTTAGGAGTTTTGCAATTAAGATGGGCTCTATTGTGAAATTGCATAGATTGCTTAAAAAAATTCTTTTACCCCTCTCATGATAATAAAAGAAACTCAGTGCATGATTATAATAAGCAATGGTGGCTCCTCAGAAATTTTACGCAATGTCTGACCTCTGGATCAGGTGGGGCTGTTTACTTTATTTTCTGAAAATGCATACTTTTTTAACAATCTTCTTGTCTTTCCCTGGCTATTTAGGATATACACAAAATTTGTGGTTATGATAAGCAAGGGTATACTTTTTCCAAAATTGTGAAATTCATTGCCTAACTTTCCCAAAAATGTGAAATTCATTGCAAATGGGAAAGGGTTCGGGTTTATTGATTATCTCGAGAAAAACCATTATTCCTTTGACTTTTTTCCCTTCCGTTAAGGTTCTATCGATTATACGATTTCGTATAGCGAAAATGCAGTATTTCTTTGGAAATCTTCTTCATGTTCATGGCCTAAGAATTTGGCAGATAAACGAAGTGCATGTTTATGATCAGTAAGGGTGTCTTTTCCAGACTCATGATATTTATGGAAGTTGTGGAGAGAATCTATTGACCTTGTAATTAAATTAAATTAATACACGAAGATAAATAAAAATGAGGGAAAGTCTTAAACTTGATTGGCTCAAACTAGATCACATGATCAAGTATAAAAAGTGGTACGGACTGGATGTTTCTATTTTAAAAATTTATAAACCCACTGTTTCTAAAATTGGAAACGTTCTTCTGTGAAGCAACAATATTGCTGACGTCACAATAGTCTTTATAGACTGGGTGTTTCTAAAAACAGATACTGCAGCTGGTTTCATTACTGTGACGTCATAATGTAAATGACATAACAATGCCTTGTATGAAAGGTACTGAAGTATTAGAAAGAAGGATTTAAGGTAGATCGCGGGTTTGCTGACGTCACAATAGGATTTGACGTAAAAAGCTTACCGCGTTCAGATAATCAAGCAAAAAATATTTTCAGCAGTATGCAGTAAAATTTAAAATGTATTTAAAAGCGTATTTACTGTTTTAATTGTCTTTACATTATAAGTAGTTTTTAACTTTTGTTTGTACCTTTCTGATCAATATTTGTTATGTGTTATTAAAATTGTATTGCCTGATTGTTGATACAATACAAAGAAAATTGACCTGCAGTTTAGTATTTTTGTTCACTTTTATGAAGGCCTATAAAAATTTTTGTCAATATTATCCAATGATGTACGCCTTTTACGATATTACGATCTTATGTGCAACAATATTGTATGACCTTAGTACAGGTATAAGATTTTTAAAACGACAAAGAAATGGACAGTATATGATGCGTAACTATGCATAATATGAACTTTCATTTATACATGAAATTTCTCTTACTGATGTTTTTTGGAGGGGGGGGGTTAAACTAGATGATAATCAACGGGAGAGACGTTATTGATTTAGGTAACATCGCCAAATAAAATATCACAAATAAAATATCTGCGTCCTATAAATTTTCATCCATTAACTCAGACCCTTTTATTATTGTCACTGAATAGCGATTCGGCTTACAACTGCAACTGAAGTTTTGTGGGGGGGGGGGGGGGGTCAAGGCAAAAGTTGCTGGCCCGTAGGAAGTAAAATCAGTTAGAGGGCACACCCATATTTTTTTCAGTTAGTGTCCTATCAACAACCAAAAATTTCTTGACAAGCAAAAGTAAAAAAAATTAAAAAGGAGGTGGTACCAGGTGTTTTTATTTAGGGGACACGAGCATATAGTTTTTAAAAATTTATTAATATAGTATTGCTACCTGTTTTCTATAGTATACTGTATGTTTTCTATAGTATTCTATATACCGGCAAAATAATGATAAGAAATGGCCTTTACGACAATTTTGAGGGAAAACTGAAGTCTTTTAATTCAGTGATAGACAAAATCAATTCATTCTATGAAGTATAAATGTATACAATGTTAAAAGAATTCAGTTGCACTATTTCCGCTTTAAAATCTGGTACATTTTATCAATAAATGAAAATGATACACAAAATATATGTTTGAAAATGTTCTTACATGTATTTCCGGTAAGATTTTTTGTCCCCTTTCATCTATTTACATTTGTTATAATTTTTCCGTACTCCTGCCCTTGAGTTTAATGAGAGAAAAAGAAAACACATGACATTGAAATTGTACGACGTTGTTGGTAAACAATGGCAATGATTATACCAAACAAATTGAATTCACGGATTGCATGTTTTATTTTGAGTGAATACGAAAAATAATGACGTCGCACCAACGTTATATAACGTCATGAGTAAAATATCACTTCTGATCGAAAATTGTAAAACTTTAAAGTTTTTTTGCAAGAAATTGAGCGAGAACACATATTGATTTTTTTTAATAGATCGATTCTAAATTAACTTCACATTCATTGTATCGAGTAATATAAAATTCGTCTGCTTCGTTTTTATGTTATGACATGGTTTTGAAAAACACAGAAAAATTTTACTATATATTTCATTGAAAAATATTTTTATTATGTTTTCATAAAAATGTGAATCCATTTTTGTGTACGTCATATTTTGTAATACTCTATAAAAATAGTAAAATTTGCTAATTTTTTTGCATTTTGAGATGCTCCCTCTGATTTTTTAACAATTGATAGGTAGAATTTTGTGTTTCTTACATATATTGTATAATATATTATTACTCATAAAATATTATAGTTTGAACAAAATGTCTATTGTAGTATTTGTATAATTTGCTTTAAAGTGCTAAAAATTGGCACTTTCCTATATATAATATATCCTATAGTAAATGTATTGTATTTTGTATAATTTGCTTTAAAGCACTTTCCTATATAACAGTCCCTCAGAAATACCTGGACGGTAGATTTCCCCCAAACTTTGCATGTACACTGAAGTTAATGTAAGTTATATATGGTATACACTTGAAGAGTTTCGCTATTGTAGTTTTCACACAATAAAACTATAGTCGGCCCCCTTAAAGACATGTCTTATTTACTGATAAAAAATAATAAAACAATTGTGGCCTTTTGATTCGGTACAATCCCTCGATATATAGACCTTAGAGAAAGCATATTGACCTCGCACTTCGTGCTCGGTCGATATGCTTTCTCTAAGGTCTATATATCGAGGGATTGACCTCATCAAAAGGTTATAATTGTATAATTACATCTTCGACATTTTACCTCCAATATTTTTATCCAGTTAAAGCATGAAACAAAATGAACTCTAAGTCTACTTAAAAAAAAAAGACACTTAGAAATTGTGACTAAGAAAATGTTTCAAATTGCTTTGCATAATCAATTATTTGATCTTAATGCACTAACAAAACGTGATTTTTCCTGGCATTGAAAATTTAATAAGCAAGAAAATTATTTTCAAGTATTAAACTTTTTCTGAATTTATGCAAATAGGTCAAAGTTATTTTAAATACTTAGAAAAAGAACATCAAAAATGGGGCTATATGATGTAAATTTTCCAATTACCTGTGAACGATGCCAGCATTATGGATATGCTGTACCGCACTAGATAGCTGATAGAAAAGTATTTTTGCCATTTCCTCTCCAATCCCTTTTTTATTTTCCCCAATGTATTGATTTATAAGGTCCAAAAGATCACCATTGGGACAGTATTCCATGACAATGTAGACGTTATGATGAGTATGGATAATCTCATACACTCTTACCTAAACACAATTGTAATACATTAGTCTCTCTCTCTCATAATTTTTTTTAAAAAATTGAAAGCGATCGGTTCAAAATGAAAATATTTTTTTTTATTTTTCATATTTTTACGGAAACAAGAAGCTTATGGGTCACAACGCTCACTTGAGTAACTTTTGCCCAGCTATTCTTCACCAGAATTTAACACTTGCAATACTATTGTGGCTCCGCCCTACCCGCGGAGGTAATGATTTGATCAAATTGGAATCAATACTACCTTGGGATGCTTCCATGTCAGTTTCAGCTTTTCTGACCCAGTGGTTCTTGAGAAGAAGATTTCAAAAGATTTTACTAAACATTTCAATGTAAAACCTGGATTCCCTATCGTGGCCCGTACCATTCCCTGGAACTTCATTTTGAACGATTGAGAGTCTATACTACCTCGGGATGCTTCAAGATATTTCAATACAAATTAAATTTAGATTCCCTATCGTAACCCTGCCGTACCCCCTCCGTGCATGATTTGAACAATTTAGATTAGAATCTACACTACCCCATGATGCTTTTACATAAGTTTGGCGTTTCTGGCCCAGTGGTTTCTTGATAGAAGATTTTCCAATATATTTTTCGATACACTTTAAATGTAAAACTTGGATTCCCCATCCACCTCCTACTACTCGGGTGCATGACTTCAGCAATTTAGAATCTACATTAACCATAGATACATAGGTTTTAGCTTTTCTGGTCCAGTGGTTCCTGAGATTTTTTAATGATCCCACCCTATTTTCGTTTTTCCTTGATTTAAATTATCTCCCCATGTAAGATGGCTTGGTCCTTCATCTTAACAACTTAACCCCCTCCCCTCTTCACATAAGCTAGGATGCTTTGTACAAAGTTTTGGTTGGAATTGTCCAATTGATTCTTGAATGTGAAAAGTTTAAAGACGGGCGAATGGCAGACAACTGGTGATCAGAAAAGCTCACTTAGTCTTACGCTCTGTTACAACGTACTTTGAAAAATAACGCAATCTGAAAAAATTCTTCATAGTGCGTTAAATTTGGAATCAAGTTCAGTATGCACACTGAAAAAAAATGATTTTTTTAAAAGTGTGTTAATATCGATCATATTAGCGCACTTTGAAAAAAAAGTGCACGACTTAGCCAATATTATGGCAAATTTTAGCTATAACAAATACATATTTATTATTTGAACTTGGTTGGATAACTTCAGTGATGTGATTGGTGTGTAAGGGTGTGTTTGAGTATGTATGTTTTGCGGGGCTATAGGGGGATCTTTTGTATGTAAGAAAACTTTTCAAAAATAAAACATAAAAAAAAAATTCGGTGACGAAGTCACTTCAGGATCTGAGATTTTGACGTTTTACATACGACACTTAATTAGGAAAAGGAAAAGAAAGAAAGGCGAGTCTAAATTTGTATTTTCATTGACAATAATTTTCCAACACAAAATGATGGTCATTTTATAGTTATTTAATAAATATTTAGAAGTATACCGTAACGCAGAAAAAAGGGACACAATAAGCAGTAAATACAAATATTTGATTTTTAATGTAATAATTTTCAAACACGAATACGGTAAATTAAAAGTAAAACTCGGTTTAAAAACATCAGCTATTTGATAAAAATGTTATGATTATCAATTGTAACCATGACTGTTAAAGCACGGCACGTATACCCTTGTTGCAACCACTATTGAAATAACGACCACTATTGAAATTATTATATCAATAGTGATTGAAAATGCATTTCAATAACAAACATAGGTAATAACCTATTGAAATAATTATTTCAATAGAGGGTGAGAGTGCATTCAATAACAAACATAGGTAATAACCACTATTGAAATAAGACTACTATTAAAATAATTATTTCAATAGAGGGTGAGAGTGCATTTCAATAACAAACATAGATAGTAACCAATATTGAAATACGACTTCTATTGAAATACTTATTTCAATAGTGGGTGAGATTCATTTCAACAACATAGATTGTAATCACTATTCAAATAATGTTCACTTTTGAAACAAAGATTTCAATATGGATTAAATTATTGATTTCAATAGTGCATTAAACAATGAATCCAATACATATTGAAATAATTATTTTTAAAGTTCTGACGCGGCGAAACCTTTCTTTCAATGCTGGTAGTATTTCAATAGTGGTTGAAACCTATGATTATTACCATCTTGAAATGCACTCTCACCCACTATTAAATAATTATTTCAGTAGTGCTCGTATTTAAATAGTTCTTTAAACCTATGGTTATTATATAGAAATGCACTCTCACCCATTATTGAAATAATTATTTCAATAGTAGTCGTATTTCAATAGTGGTTACTAACTATGTTTGTTATTGAAATGCACTCTCAACCACTATTGATATAATTATTTCAATAGTGGTCGTATTTCAATAGTGGTTACTAACTATGTTTACTATTGAAATGCACTCTCAACCACTATTGATACAGTGTATAATTATTTCAATAGTGGTCGTATTTCAATAGTGGTTACTAACTATGTTTGCTATTGAAATACACTCTCAACCACTATTGATATAATTATTTCAATAGTGGTCGTTATTTCAATAGTGGTTGCAACATACCCTTTTCCCCCGGTTATGCAATAACTGAGAGCAAGACGGACATGTAGACAACAAACGCAACTTGATTTTTACAATGGAATACTGTACATTACCGCGTAATTTTGCGAAAAGCACCTCGCCTACATTAAAAAAAATTAACCGTGGTCATGCAATCATTTTTAAAGGAAAGCTTACTTTATTTTTTTTTTTCATTAAATCTACTTTAACTGAAATTTAATGAGAGAAATTTGAATACATATATTTGGGTAAGAAAGTTAAAGAATTAGGCTAAGGGACCTTTTATCTGTCCTCTCGTTTATCAGTTTTTTTTCAAAAGATTGCTATTTCCAAGCTCTAAGTCCCAAAATTTTGTTTATACGATTTTTACAGAGTGTTGAGTTTGTTGATTCACACGTACAATCTTAACGTACTTTGAAAATAATTCAAAAATTTGCTCTGACATTGTCTCAATTTTAATGCACTTTGGATTTTTTTAAAAATGTTTTTCTAAATACGTTGTCACAGAGCTCTCAGCTAAGGTGAGCTAAAAACAAAACAAAAAATATATGTTATAAAAAAAAAAAGTAATACACATGTAAAGGAATCACTCTTACCACATTTTTATGTGGATGTAATTTAGAATGATTCTCCAATTCTCTCGGAAGAAATTTCTGCATGAAATCTTTGGCTACTGTTCGTTTGTCGATAACTTTAATTGCAACCTTTTTTAAAAGAAAGCATAAACATGAGAAATCAACATACAGTCTATGAAATAAGTAATTGACATGTTTAACCCCCCCCCCATGTTCACATATGAGTTTGGGCAAGTTTTCTGGGGGGGGGGGTGTTTGATATTTTTCTTTATTATCATTTACTTAATTATTGTTATTTTTTGTCATATTTCAAAGAACGGTGCTATTTCCTCGCCCTTTTGTGCCTTAAGTTTCGATGTCAATTAGAAAATTTAAGTTCTCATCTTTAAGAAATGGGATGGACGAATAAAACTACAATGTCGCCCGAAGAGAAAAAAAAAATATTGGACACTAAAAGTTGCATTCGATCCTGGATTATTTTCTCCAAATTCTTTCCTAAACTTCACAGAAGCTTGATTTCAAAACATCCCTTTAATTTGACTTTGATCTTTGTCAAGTACTCTCATTACTTACTTTAGCGTGCTAGAGGTTCACGGCGACATTGCCTTGGCGCCGCGTAAGGGACGTGAACCGAGGCTCTAACTAGTGTATCTCATTACTGACAACTACATGAAATGCATTTACTGATTATATTCCCACTGAACAATGTGCAAAAATTATGATGGCCTCAATTTCAGCTTCGAACACGTGGGGAAACATTGATCATGAGATTGAGCGCCACCACACTTTTTGGAGCGCAGTAATTTAAAAATATACACGTTTTCGGTTGGTTTCACGGTATCTCTCTGTTCTGTCAGTTTATTTTCTTTTTTGGAGAGCGCTACATTTCTGCAACTACTGTAAAACAAAAAGACAGACTTACTAGGAAAACACTAGCATCTCCCGCCTGATTGGCTAGAACGTCGTTACGAGCTAGTTTGCTAGGCATGACTTCAGCAAGTCTTACTTTAGCGTAGGCCCCCTCACCCACAGGCTTGATAGAACGGTATCCATGATCATACAATTCCTTTTTCACGATATCAGCAGAAACACATTTGGAGTCTAAGTGTGTGTTTTCAAATATAGAATTCTTCTTTGATGTAGGAGATGGTCCTCGCAACCTTATTCCTGCTTTGATTCGCTCCTCTTTTCTCATTGTAATTTCTTACATGGACATTGTGATGAATCACGAAAGTTATAATACATTTTCCCGAAATTCAACGTTTTGTGTTTTTTTTATTGTGACATCATTGCGCACTATGACGTCAAAAGTAAAGGCTAAAACACATTGGGGTAAATACGGGTGTTATCTATATATCTCAATCCCAAAAAAAAGCCCAAATTTAACATTTTTGATAATGAAAATAGCTGTGTTTTCACTTTTAATCCATCACCGCGTACCCAAAGTCCGTCACCATATTAGAGGGGGGAAAAAACCATTTCATGGGGAGTTATTGTGTAAAATTCCTGACATTGGGGTACCATAAGCGAATACTAAAAATGAGTAGTGATTCAAATTACATTTTTTTATAGAAATAAAAGAATACACAGAAGAATTTTTATGAAAGTAAGCCTTTAAGGGGACGTCTATTTGATATTTGTGTGGTTAGGACTGGGAGATTCTATAGAAAGAAATATTTCCCATCTGGAAAGAAAGCAAACTAAATGAACATTAATGGGTGGTACCCCCTTGAAAAAATAAAGTTTAGGTACCCCCTCCCACTAATAATTTTTTTTTTTTGAAAATTATTCATTTAATGATTTTCTGACCAATACAGATTCCTTTCATTCTGTTATACAATGAAGCGCATTGAAGTGGTAAAATTTTCCGTTTGGATGGAACGTTTTGAGCGATCTTTAGACACGCCCATTTCTTTAGAAAGGAAAAATCGGTCAAATGAGTCAATCGAATACCTGTTCCATAAATATAAAAGCCAATAAAATTGACGGTCTACATAAACACCGAGTAGGCACGTGTTCGACTGATACATGTGTTATGCTAACTCCAATAAACATGATAAAATCATAATTATGTACAAATTCGTTGCAATGCGTGTTTTGCAGAAGCGATGACTCTATATCTAGCTCTTTCTTATTTGAAAATCTTCATTTCAGTGAAACTCATGTTGCTTGTCGCGGAAAGTGGGGTGTCCTAAAACATTACGACGAATATTTCTTTCTCGTTTCTAAAGAAATGGGCGTGTCATTATGTTATAATTGACGTTCAAAACATGACTCAGAACGTTTCATCCAAATGGAAAATTTTACCACTTCAATGCGCTTCATTGTAACATTTATTAACATGTTCATTGATGGAACAGCCACTGATCAAGAAATCTGTACAGACGACATGCCTACTGTAGTTCACGCAGTGATTAACGCAATGGGTTTTCTTAAGAAATAAAGGAAAAAATTCAGTGGATGTAAATATATGTTTATACATGTAATTATACTGAAACGCAACAATCTAAATTCTAAAAAAGATCTAAAAAATATTCAAATTGTTTATCTCATGATTTTCAAAAATAAACACAGTAAGGTAAAAATCGATTTAAAACATCAGAAATTCGATAATAGAAGATGTTAAATGGTTTATTTATTGAACACATGAATATTAAAACACCCAACACCTGGCCATTCAATTACAGCATGCAAGACTTCAAGCACATCAATTGCAGTAAAGCCAGTTTGATTTCTACAATGTAATAGGTTCATCAATCTGGAGATCTAAGCGAAAGAAATATTCTTTGCCATTTTTGAATGCCTGTTTTTCAGATGATGAGGTCGAATTTTCTCTAGCCTAGCGTGGTGTAGTAACCGTTGGACTTCCAGTCCAAGGACTGTCATTCATGATAATGATGCATAAGGGCCTGTTGAGGCGTGATGTAGTGCATTTTTCGAAATATTGCTGCACTACTTATGATGAACAGATACAAACTCTTAAAACTCTATATACAATTTTTGATTTCTATATCAAGGGGACTGAAACTTTACTTCCGTTAATGGTATGAAAATTATTGAACCAGGCGCGTAGCCAGCATTGAAATGAAGTGTACGCAGGAAATGGCCGGGGATCTGGGGGCCGCCCTGAGGCCCCCAGTGGGTCCAAGGGGCGAAGCCCCCGGAAGCTACTGGATTTTACGAAATTTTTCAGTCATTTTCCTTTAAAAGAAATCACGCTACATCTCTTTTCTCAAGCAAACACTTAGCTAAGTTATACTTCTATGGATAGTATGGGAAGAGAAGGATAATTTGATCAAATTACTTTAAAAATATATTGGTATTGGAAAAAAAAGGTTTCCAAGTGTGACAAGATAAAACAGAGAGGTATTTAATAAGTTATCATTGGAGTTAAAGTATTTCAGAATATAAACGGGGGTGTGGGTCTTTTGAAAACCTTTATATTCTGATAGCTTAAACAAGGTGAGAGTACTTAAATTCTATAAATTGGAAATATCACTAAAAAAAAATATTCATAAATGATCTATATTTTTATTTACTTTGTTAAGTAATTTGAATTTTGCCATTTTTTTGTTTATCGATATTTATTCATTACTCTAACGGAAATTCTTGTATAGTCGTCCAAGACCCTTGTAACTTTTTCTTTAGATCAATGTCACTTAGATCGCTTTCCTTCATCAAATACATGTATTTGTCCGGATAATCAGGATTACGCGGATTAACAGTTGGAAATTTTGGTTCAACAATATTTTCTTACTCAAGAAGTGTGGAATTCATTTTATAAAAGACTGGATTTTAACGATATTCTGAACAAAAAAATTTGAATAGAAACAATAAGACGTAAAATAATTTGCAAGACAGATACTGCCCCATTTTCTCCGAATAAATCTCTCTCTTTCCTTATTCTTTTTTCTTTCTTTTCTTTTCTTTCTTTCTTTTCTTTTTGAAAATGATGTGTACGCACTTGCGTACTTGCGTATAGGCAGCTACGCGCCTGTGAACCATTAAAGTACCTATTTTTATACAGTTGAAGATGTCCTTACTTTTTAGATACAAATTGTATCTTGTATATTATATTTCCCACTAAAATAGGATAAAATGCCTCATCTGTACTTCATTGAAAAAAAGAATATAATTCATTGTAAATAAGATTGGCTTGTCCCTAAATCAATTCATGCACATTGCAGAATAGTTCTCCCTTCTTTTGCTCCCCATTTTTTAAGGGGGGGGGGGGGGCTCTCAAGGAATTTCTAACTTCTAACATGTACTCCATCCTCATGAAAATCTAAAGGAATTTTAAGTTATGAAAAGGACCGGAATGAGGGCTAAGGGGCTCTTGGGCCCCTATATTTTATTAAGTTTACGTATACACCGCACAAATGGCTAAAGCATTTGCTCTTTGAGCTTTAGAGAAAATAAGGACTATATACTTAGTTTGTCTGCTTAATACCTAGGATCAGAGGAGAAAATGTTTTTTTTTGAATTATGCTCTTTTACTTTATAACCAAAAGAGCCCCCCCCCCCAATCTGCAGAACCCCCTACCTTGGGGTCACAAATTTCACAATCTACAACTGGACAATAATAAATGCCCATGTTTATGATTTCCAAGGAAACATCTAAATTGCAGTTTTGAGACAAGTAAACAACTAATAAGCAGTCTCATTGCATATACTCCTTCTCATCCTCCTGATCTTCCTTTGTAAATTTCTCCTTCAGGTGTTCAGGAATTTCAACCTGGTGCAAGTTCTCCATCCCCTCCTCTGGTTCATCGCCAATCAAGATATCAATTAAATTCATAATGGGTATAATATTACTTCGCTGACTCTCCCACTTGTGTAATTCACGGATGATGATGTACGTGTTTTTCTCTTTCACAAACAATCTTCCCTTTTTGGTTGCACATAACTGTAAATAAAACCACATACTCCTTTACCATGTTTCACTGATTATGAATGGCAACAGCTCTCAATATGGCTGAAAATTCTGTTAATTAGTGGCTACAGAAGTGGCCGATCTATTTGTGGTTGTGTTACAATGTGCACATGGGGAATTAAAGTGTTATTTTTTTTATTGATTGCCTCAATGAAATAATTCTTCATTGATTACAAACAAAAAAATCATGAATAAAAAGTCTTTAATTCCATAAAACCGTTTATCATATTTCTGTTAAAATGTTTCCTATATAAAGTTCAGAAGGTAAAATAACTATCTATTATAGATCACGCATAGCAAAGCTATACCCAGGGGTATGGTTTTTGCTATCCACCCTTGGAAAATTTTCATGCAATATTTGCCGCAAATTTTAATTTCCAGCAATAAATCTATTGAATGATGATGTCATAATGACTTCAGTAGCATTGTGACGTCATCAGGATTTCAGATTATTCTTGCAGTATTTTCTTACTCCAAAAAAATCTAAACCTCAAAAATTATATTATACATCAGTTTAATAAAATGCTTATCCACTGTTTGTGAGTGGGATAGCTCTTTTATCAAACCTTTGACAGGGATTCCCTGTTCGCGGGTTTGATAAAAGAGCTTTCCCACTCACAACCATTGGATAAGTGCAGGGGTGTGCAATTAGAAAAATCAATAACTAGCCCACGGGCTAGTGGCAGCTATAAAGTTACTCAAAAATGCATTTTTGAATATTTAAATGCCTCTTTATTGTTTTTAAAAAATGTCTGAATATCCAGTTCAATAAATTGCCTTTGATTGTTTGTTGTATGATAAAATATTGGAATAGGTACTCAGGTAATAGCAAATTTATGAATAGTTTTCTCCCTCAGGGAACCATACATCTGCTATTTTCATCTTACACATTCCATAACTATACAATACTGACCTTTAAAATTGCTTGTAACAAGATGCATCTTATCTGCGGGTTTGGTTCTCTGGTTTTATCTGGTGGTAAGTACTGTAATCTTTCTGGTAGTTTCTCCATTTCTTCATCATCAAATTCCTCAGGACCAGCCAGAGGAAGCAAAAGGGAAGACAATATGTCCACTTTGTCACTCAGTAACCACTCATGGTGCTCTGTGGAGGAAATTTCAATTACTTTTGCTTCTTCATTCAATACGTGATGCAATTAAGGACAGATGAAACAAACCATTTTTTTTCTTGGAGGAGACTTAATATCATGTCACAGTTTTAGAAAAGTGGATAATTCTTAGAATTATTTCTCCTACGAACTGGAAAATGAAAAAGACTTGGAAAATGTTAGTAATATTTCAATAAAATAACAAATATAGACAAATCACACTTAGTAAAGGTTTACAGGCGAAAACAAATTTCTTAATATGTTACTTTGGTGCTAAAAGTGTAATATAAAATTTTAAAAAATATACCAAGCCAAGTGAATTTTATTAGTAAAAACAAAATGAAAAAAAATCAGCAAATATCACATAGGCTGAAGTTTACAATTTTGCTTTTCCAAATAAAATTCACCTGGCTTGGTATATTTTTCTAAAGTTTAATATTCTGAAATGTGTTTTCGTTGATGATCGCCTTGCTTTGTCAAAATTTCCAGTTAAAATTTGTTTTGAGGATAATGTATGCAGTTTTAATTCTAAATATATTTAGATCATACTTCCAAGAACCGTTACAAAAGAAGCAAATGTTGGTAGATAATAACAATAAACTATTTCAAAGCATGGGAATTTGATGTTATGAACATGGTCGATTTGATCAGCAACATTTACACAGAAACTGTAATAACAAATTTACTCTCTGTGAATTGTAAACTATAGATAATTATCTAAATTAAATGTTTTCATATTTTATTTACAGCTGGTTAAACTCCAGCACATACAAGACTATCTAAATTTAGATCCCCAACAATACTTTCTTCTTCAATGTTTTGATCAGTGTTGCAGATCATATTGGCTTTGCCAATGCCAATATTGACAGGGGTGCATATTGTTGCCACCATGTGCAGATTTGCATTGCACATATTGTCATGCCTTTGTAGCTAACAGTGTACCTGCACAAATTGTCAATGATGACAAAGTTTGTAGACCCTTGTTCTACACAGTACTGGATGAAAACATTTGAATGACCTTGACTGTAACCTATATGCTAAAAATAGTTTTTTTGAACTTTCATCTTAATAACTTTTTAACCATAGGAGATAGAAACTTCATATTTGGTATGCATAATCCAGTAATTAAGATCTTTCTAATAACACCAATGTCAATGACCTAGTGACCTTGACTGTTCCCTATATGCTAAAAATAGCTTTTTCCAACTTTTGCTTTAACTTTTGAACCATAGGAGATAGAGACTTCATACTTGGTATGCATAATCCACTAATTAAGTTCTTTTTAATGACACCAAGGTCATGACTTTGTGACCTTGACTGTGACCTATATGCTGAAAACAGCTTTTTCAAACTTTGTTGCCTTCGGGTGCATAGTGTTTCTCAAACACATCTTGTTTTGTCAACTTTGAAGTGACCTTGCAGAGACCAGGCCCTTTGCTCCAGGGTATATCCTCATCCTTGTATGCAAGTTTGCTGATAATCTGCCAAGTGGTTCTAGTGAAGATTTTTTAGCAACCAGTACTTCTGATTTTATTTACCTGATTATCTTCCCTCGTTTAAGATTCACAACCCTAGATTTACTATAGATCACTTAATTTTTGCGACACCTTATTTTTGCGAGATAGTCATGGACTCCTGATTAGCGAGACAAAATTTTAGCAAATTGTGGTTATTGCTCTGTATAATCTTAAGGAATACTATTATACGCAAGAATTAAATTTTCGCGAGCACACTGTCTCGCGTAATCATGCGAAAATAAAGTTCTCGCGAATAAAAAGTGATTTACAGTAGTATAAGTGGTAGCCCTTGGCCCAAGGATACCCTATGACAAATTTGATAATGATTGGCCATTGGGTTCTTGAGTTATTGCCCATATTCATAAAAGTTTATGCACACCGCACAATGGCCACAGCATTAACTCTTTGACCTTTTGAATGTCTTATGAAAAGAGCTAAAAATTTGAGATAATCTTTTTTAACCTTTTTTCTCCAAATCATTTTCAAATGCACTGACCTTCATCAAAACAGCAGTTTTTAATGCAGCTAACAACTCCGAATCTTCTTATATCTGATTCCATATAGTTTACAAATGGTAACAATCGCTGAATCACCCACTGATCTCTGGACAAAATTTCATCTCGTATGTGATGAATCTGACTCAGATTGGCTAAGATGGGTGCCAAATAATGAAGATCTGCTTCCTTGTTGTGGTCTATTTTGCACAATACACTTACAAATTTACTGATTTTTAATTTGTCTTCATTTTCCTTCATGATATCAGCTACTTTTCTGGCACATTCTTCAGGCCTGGTTAAGTTGGACAAAAATTTGCAGACTAGATCAGCATGTTTGTACTCTGCATTTAGAATTTTTTCAAATTTTTTGACAACAACATCAGGAAAGTTGTCACTGCTCAAAATTCTAGAACATATTGTATCTTTTGTTGCAAGGTTGATGAGTGTTTTACAGGCTACTTCTGCGACAACATCATCTCGATCATCAGTCAATTCAATAATACACTTGATGAACTTGGTGCTATTTCCAATAAAATTTTTTCCATCATCTGACCCTGTCAGACCAAGGAAATACTCTATAGCAGGTTGTTTGACCTGAGGAGTTGCTGACAAATTTAAAATTGGAGCAAATTCATTCTCCAAATGTTCTATATTGAGGTCTTCCACACTCATTATAGTTAAACCAATCCACCTGTAATTGAGATGAGAAAAGATAATATATATCTGTATACACAAAAAAACTTCATATTAATATATATTTAAACATAGGTAATCAGAGATTACAGAGCTCACCTCAACGAATGTTGTCCTTAAGTAAGGCAAATTAAGTCACACAATTAAACCAACAAAAAGTGTACATCCAAAAATGCAAAATTTATGCAATTTTGATACTTTGGAATAGACCTATATAAAAACTTAAAACTAGTTCTTCATCATGAAAATGTAATTAAAATCCAGCATCTGAAGCAAGATTGAGAGTTTTCATCCCTTGATGCATCATTTGTGCAACTTTGGTTTATATAAGCCTTACAGTTTCTTGGTGATAGACCTGCACCCATAACTTTTACGAGGTCTATTATCTGGAAAATGTATGTCAAATTCAGCATCTGAAGCAAGTCCATTAGTGCATCCTAAGATGTATCATCCATGCAAGTTTGTTCAACATAGAGCACAAAGTTACTTGGAAATGAAACCTGTATAAAAAAACTAACCTTTTCACTAATCCGGAAAATGTAGGTCAGATTCAGCTTCTGAAGCCAGCCTATTAGAATGCACCCTTAGATGTACCATCCATGCAAGTTTGGTCATTACAGGGCTCAAAGTTACTTGGAAATGAATCCTGCACCATAAACTTTAACCTGTTTACTCGTCCAGAAAATGTAGGTCAGATTCAGCATCCGAAGCAAGTCTGGTAGTATGCATCCTAAGATGTACCATCCATGCAAGTTTAGTCATTATAGGGTTCATAGTACCTTGGAAATGAAACCTGCACCAAAAATTTTAACTTGTTCACTCAACCGGAAAATGTAGGTCAGATTCAGCATCCGAAGCAAGTCTAGTACAATGCATCCTAAGATGTACCATCCATGCAAATTTGGTCATTATATGTCTCAAAGTAACTTGGAAATGAAACCTGCACCAAAAACTTTAACCTGTTCACTCAACCGGAAAATGTAGGTCAGATTCAGCATCCGAAGCAAGACTGGTAGTATGCATCCTAATATGTACCATCCATGCAAGTTTGGTCATTATATGTCTCATAGAAACTTGGAAATGAAACCTGAACCAAAAACTTTAACCTGTTCACTCAACCGGAAAATGTAGGTCAGATTCAGCATCCGAAGCAAGTCTAGTAGAATGCATCCTAAGATGTACCATCCATGCAAGTTTGGTCATTATAGGGCTCATAGTATCTTCGAAATGAAACCTGCACCAAAAACTTTAACCTTTTCACTCAACCGGAAAATGTAGGTCAGATTCAGCATCCGAAGCAAGTCTGGTAGTATGCATCCTAAGATGTACCATCCATGTAACCATGCTTATAGTTACTCGGAAATGAGACCTACACCAAAAACTGCACCAAAAATGTTAACCTGTACCAAAAACATTAACCTGGTCATTCCTTTGCTGAAATTGCAGCATCTGAAACTTTGACTGGTACAATGAAACACACTAGAAGCATCTTCCATGCATGTCTAATCAATATAGGACATAGAAGTACTTAAAAAGAAAACTGCTCCAAAAAACTTAACCTTAACCCGGGACAACGACGCCGACACCCACGCCAACGCCTAGGCTATCACATAAGCTCCCCCCAACTTCGTTGAGGTGAGCTAAAAATGAAGTAGTGTTTTGGGAGTACTTCAAAGAAATTTCTATTTTTTTAGTAACCATTGCAACCCTGTTCATCTAAATCAAATAAATAAATAAATAGAACTATGCATCTTAATTTGCAATTGGTTAATTTGCAGACCAAAACTGTAGAAGTAGTGTTTTGAAAGTTTCTATTTTAGTGACAATGGCAACACCGTTTGTTGAAATCAAAACCAATATAAGCAAGGATTCTTGTATCTTTTTTTTTTTAATTTACATTAACCATTGTATATAAACATAATTTCATATAAATATCTACAAAGCAGTATACAAAGGATTTTTAACCTCACACACATACATCCACTCACACAATTATTGGATTCAACTTACACTTATACTTATTATACAGAAAAAAAAATTAAGGCTCCTTTTAGAATTCACTACATCAATTGCTCACTAATGAATCATAAAAAGCATGCAATTAACAAAAATAGACATAAAAACATTCAAACAAGAGGCCAAGAGGCCACATTGCTCACACGAGCACTGTGGCTAGGAAAAAAGCAAAATCAGTTAAGTATTAAAAATTAAGCTTTAAATGCATGAGTGGTCCCGATCTAACTCCTAAAAGGCAGAAGGGGTAAGGGGGAGGGGGGGTAAGATTTGAGCAAACTTGAATCTACACTATATGAGGATTGCTTCCAAATAAAAATGACAAACCATGGCTTTGCTGTTCCTGAAAAGAAGATATTTCCTATATACTCCTGTGTTAAACTTTGATTGTCCATTGTGGTTCCTTCCTACCCAGGGGTCACAAGGGGATCAGACTGTGGGTGAACGGGAATGAGAGTGAATGATGTCAAGGGCGAACAAACATACAACTGGATGAATTAGGCTATCTTTTCTAACTTAAAGTTTAAGAAATTCTTTTGGTTCCCTCTTCTGACTGGCTGGCTAAAAATGGCCCCATTGAAACCTTTTTTTTAATCTTGGAAATTTTGTTTCTTTTTGTTACATTAAATGACAAAATATTGCCTGGTATATATAAGTTCAGTTGATCGAGCATCTGACCATGCAGTGATGCAGGGGTCCCGTGTTCTATTCACAATCCACTACAGGTCACCTTTACAAAATTGTTGGTTGCCTTCTCCCGACCGACTGACTAAATATGGCCCGATTCAAAACTTTTTCTTAATTAAATGGCAATCAATATGAAATTAAATCTCTGATGTTTATATTTTGTATGCTAGAATTTTAAGAAATATCTCGTCAATATTGACAAACTTAGGCAGGAAATATCATGATTAAAACAAAATACATCAAACTATTGTCCTGGACCTGATAATATTACCCGTATCACTGTATCAGGAAAGGAAAATAAATATTATTTGCTTACCTTTTACGAAGAACACACGTTGTTACAAAGTGAAAGTAAAAATTAAAGAACAATCGTAACTTTTCGGGCGCAATCGGCAATCCTCGGCTGACTCCGCTATGCTCCATTCAAACGACGTCCGAGGTTATGTGCGAGGTACGAGTCATCCGAGGAAATCCGAGTGTTTCGGGCGTGCACATCGGAAGGTCTCGGGAACCAGGCTAGACTGGTACCCTGACATTGGTTAACGGGCGCAAGCGCCCTAAACAAAACGACCTTGTAATTCCTAGCGGCAGCGACTGGAATCAAGGGCAGAGAACCAGTGCTAGCGTTTCCCTATACTGGTATTGCCTGTCTTTAGCGTACGCAGGAAAAGACAGGTGATCACCGCCATTAAAGCCAGGGATTCCTGGCTTGAGTGACGCGCCATCTATCGCCGCTGCTCTACGATACAGCATGGGAAATAATCACACAATATATAAAGCGATCTGCTGACTCAGTGGGGAACTTTAAACCGATTTATGTTTCCTGCGGTAATTAAATATGTCAATTCTAATAAACAAAACTAGTTTGTAGAGTTGTTGCAGTTCTATTTTATCCAATTAATGTATGCCATGTAATCTGATAGAGGCTTGCTGATCTGTTATATCACGGCTGAAAATTTAGAATAAATTCAGCGAAGTGAAATGTCTTGTACATAGGCCTAGTAAGCCTATGAAATGTTTAACACTCCTGTGAAACAAAAATCTGAAAAAAGGAATACATGTGTTTGTATTGTATGTGGAAATATTAGTGACCGTGCTAGATTAATTGAATGGTCTAGAGGAACTGTTAAAAAAGTATGGCGGTATAAGTGTTGAAAGCGGAATACTTTATAGAAATTGTTTTCAAAAATAAATTAACTTGGGCAAAAAATGCGCGAGAGTTCTATGATTTGTGTCAGAAAAACTATGTGGCTGTGTATACTAGAGGAAAGAGGCAGCACCTCGTAAATCAAACTTTTTCCGTAGCCCGTAGGTAAAACAACCACGGTATCGTTATTCAAAGCACTTTTGATACTTCTTCCTTGCAAAGACTTTAGAAAATTTAATGTTGAATATCTTTCACAATTTATTTCTGCCAATGCAATTTTCGTATACCTAAAGAAAACTCGAGGCAATATAATTATCCATAATATTGCACTCTATGATCTGTTTTGGTTTCCCCGAGGTATTTAAATTCTACGTCGGTGAGAGTTTTTATCAGCCAATGAGCGCTGCCGATAGAGGGCTCTTTACATTACTGATCTCCTGTCTGTATATCGGATATCAGACAGGCAGGCCACATACTACCCATAGTCCTCTGCGTCTCCGCACGGTTTGGTACAAACGAACTCTGGCGGAAGTTTGTAGCGTTTCCCACACTCTCATTCGGAGTCCCTCGGATGGCTCTTACTTCGCACAGTAGCCTGGTTCAGTTCGGCTGTCTCCGGAAACAGCAGAGACTCTGCTGGTCGGAGTTTACGGAGACAGCCGAGTGTCTGGTTGGAGACTAAGCGTAGCGGAGTCATCCGAGGATTCAATCTCTTTCCGTCGTTGTTTTTCTGATAGTTGGATAAACAATAATATGAGTGCTTGTTCCAGCGATCTTTTTTTATTTTGATGAGGGTATTCAGAAACACCTAAAAATAAACAAAATATACACCATCATGAAACCAAGCGCCACCGTTGACGGTTCGTGCTCTAGATTCGTCTGAGAGAAAATGAATAGTTTGCATACACAGCTTTCAAATACCTTTTAAAAATTATTTGTTGCATTTTTATAAAGTCTGAAGACATGCTTAATCTGAAAATCATATTAGAACCATTGTTTTGGTCCACGTTTGTTTGGGAGAGCCAGGAACCGGAAGTCGGATGGACTAGTTTTACCGGCTGCCGATTTCATATTTGCTGTAGCAACGAATAGACGAAACGTGTAAGGTACTATAACAGATATGCAGGTCTTTGTTCAATACATTCTAAGAATGAAAATCAGCAATTATGTAAAAATGTTAATGAAGTTTTTGTAAGCACTTATTTAATCCACAGTATTTGAGTATCTCTAAAATCTATTAATTAAAGTGTTTTATAATCGCAAGGTAAGAGGAAACGCGGACTATATGGTATGCATAATTATCGCAAATAGCTATGACGTCTTAAAACTAATTTGCACGTATGTTTTAACAATGCAGCAAAAGATGTGTGATACATTATGATTTATTTACATAGAAATATCACTGAATGAAGAATTAAAGGGATGATCGATGAGACTGTATAAAATGTAGATCATTTGTGACTAAGAGGGAAATAGAGTTAATTTGGAAGGTAAGTGCATAGTTCTACCTAGTAAGTGAATTTTTTTTTCAAATTTCAGAGCAAAATAAATGACAAAACAAAGATATGCATCATGTAAGGGTCTTTGTAATCTGAATGGATCGAGGTTTGGCTCGGCTAGATATTTGGTATGATGCCTCCACCAAATCTCGAGACAATCCTACATAGCGAGTGCAGCAAGACGGCTGCAAGCTCCATAGACAACATGCACGAATGGAGGAAATTTGGGTTAAAATCTGCACATTGCTCCAAGAAATTTTTATCGTCCCACGTAAAAAATATCCAAACTCCCAATAATCCTTTGCAGTGCATAGCAACATGGTGGCTTAAACATAGTAACAACTTACTTGAAAAAAAATAACAAACAATGATTAAATGCAATCTCCATGCCACAAAACTATCCTTTTCGTCTTAACGCAACAGGACTTCACTTTCATCACTTGAATGGCTCATTAATTTCCGATTTTGTCGTAAACCATTGAGAATTTCAGAATCTCGATCCTGATGCATGGGAAGTGATTTCTTTTTATTGTTTGTTTTCTTCTCATTTTTTTTTATAAACTGAGAATAGGCAGTGCAACTAAAAGCTATGTATAGGTTTTTGATAGTTAAATAACTGCACTTGCCCCAATAGTCACACTATAAAACATATTTATTCATCCATCCACGTTCATGTCTGGAATCGAAATTAATCCCCAACTTCGGCCAACTATAGCAAGAACTTAATTCTCTTAGGCCACTCTGCCGTTCGCTTCAATTAAGTTTAACACGACCGAGTCTAATTATTTCTACCCTAGGGATTTTGATAATTTTTCGTTAATTAACTTTTACTGTTATATTTATTGTTTTAAGATTAAAAAATCAAATGTTTACCACCCCAATTTTTTAGGGCACTATCTCAAAATTTGTCAAATTTTATTATTGGACCCTGTGGGAATTTGTTGGAAAAAGCTTAATTATTACATTTTTTCTATATTTCTTGTATTTCTGCCCTAACTAGAGATTTCTTCTTCAGTCGAGTATATGAAAGTTATTGTTAAACGTCACTAAATTGTGAAATTTCAAAAAAGTTGACCATCTAGGTTGGCCTCTGTCTTAATTACAAATTTTATTTTTTTGATGCCAAATACCTCTAAAACTGCCATATTGTGGTATAAATACATGTAGGTGCAGATGAATTATCGACGCAGATAATTTTTTTTGGTAAAAAATATCAATATTTAGATTGCTAGTATGTTTCATTTTATGTTCTGTCATCAGTTTTTAATATATTATCCATGGATGTCTACAAACATATAAGCGAGTCATGTGTCACTCTTCAGCGTCGTGCAATAAGGCTTACAAAATCGGAAAACTGACGTTGTTAGAGCCATTTCAGCACCTTTTCCTAATAATTGTTGTAAATCTCATTTTCTGACTAGTAGGTGTTACAGATAATGTTAATTTTTTTTTTTATAATAATAATATTAAAATCACAATATTTGGGAAAGGTGTACTGTTGCACGTATGACTGCATGAAATTAAAAAGCTGCGCAAAGTCATGCACACTCGAATTAGACTTGGCCTCGTTTAGTCATTTTATTTTAGTTGTTTAATTAACTCTGCCTTTTTTATCGTCACATATCATAGCTTTTTTGACTTTATTGTATTTTTGACCTATTTTTTCCAATTAACCTCCTGTGCAGATACCGTGCGGTTCCACATCAATTTCAGCACACTTGAAAAAATACCTTTCAAGTATAAATGTAGTGAATATGTACCTAAAATAATTAATTCAACAGATTTTACTTGTGGTTTTAGTCCGATGTCAGAATTTAATCTTTTGACATCCAATAACAAACTGGCATGTTGATTGGTCAATGTGCTGATTTGTCTATGCATTTAATTTTATTAATTATCCTGACTGACACATCTGTTTAACATGTTAATTTCTCGATGCACTGATTGGTTAGTAGATAATCCCAATTGACAGCTCTTTTATGCTACACCAAACATGCGTTTGCTTTCTGGGATAGCAACTGAATTTGGGTTTCACTTTTGGCATTTGCTCTGGGTCCACTTTGGAACCGCTACTGGTGCAGTTGGGTTGTGCTCAAGGTTTCCTAGAGTCATGCAGCCCTAGCAGAGAGCAAACCCGGGTTGCGCTTTGGGTTTGCTTTCTGTAAGGTTGTGTCCAGTTGGTGATGTATAATTAAACAAACATTGTAAAATAAGCCATAATTCAGATTTCGTTTGTAATAATGTGACAATGCTGAATGAGGAATGAGCTAATGTGTGACATCTCTTCTGGTATTTTACATGTAAATGTATCAGAGATTTCAGGTCTCTTTCAGAATTAAAAAAAACTTTCTTTTCTTTTCTGTTTTTTTTAAACAAGGGTTAAAATTGTTTCAGAAATAAATATCAGGATTGTTCTGTTCAAATATAATCATAATATTTCTATAAATGTATTGTATGTATAGCCTTGTTTATTTGAGTAGAGTTAACAATTGATGAAATACCGGGTATTTTGAGAATTTCTGATATGATTAACTGTTTAATTGGTCAGAAAAATCATGCGGTTAACTGTATGGCAATTATGTTTTCAATTACCATCCCTATACAATTAACACATTGAAGTAAAAATCATTATTAAGAGATACAATGCAAATCCAATATATCTACCATTATTATAGCTTGCCTTTCTTCTACCTAAAGTGTACGTATTACTCTAAAATATTATTTGCTCATTCTATTTCTAGTCTCGAAGTGCTTTTGGAGAAAAATAACTTTTAATATTAGAGTGGATTGATGGATCAGGATGGATTGAAAATGAATGCAGCATGATAAAACAGGGAGTTGTCCAGGAAAAGATATCTGATCTCACTTCCATGAACCATTTGCCTCCCCTTAGCACTTTACCTCAGTGGTCACGCATCAACACCCTAGACAGGGGACGCTACCCCAAGCCATTTGTTAGAGACAAAGTCCATATTTATCCTGATATGTCAAAGAAGGAGGAAGGGGATGATAATAAAGAAGTGGATCTTCAAGAAATGGATCCAAAACAGAGGATCCAACACATGGAGAGGAATATGATGTTTTTAAAACAACAGCATCAGGAGGTGTTACAGTCCCTCCATGCAGAAATTGAAGCACTCAAAAAGGACAACAAAGGTAACTGCTAGATATTAATTTAGAAAGCTGTCACTTACTAATAATATATTAGGATTTTATTAGGTCACCCGAGTCACTCAGGTAACCTATTGCTATCTGTTTTTGTCCGTTGTCCATTGTGCATCGTGCATTAAGTTTTACGGTAAATATTTTCAGCTTCTTCTCTGAAATCGACTGCAGAAATGTAGCTCTCTGCTTGAAAAAATTCGGACAGACAACACAGAGAGCTACAAATCCATGCATTGTAAAAACCTTTGATTTACACTGCCAAATTTTTGTTGCTCACTCACTTAAATATTAAGATTTATTATGTATTCAGCAAAAGTTGAAGTTGTACACAGGATGTTTACACTGTGGTGATCTGTTGACAAGAGACTGGAAACAGTTGTTTTAGATTTTTTCGATTGAAATATATAGAGAATAATACATATCCTTTTCCATATCACATCCTGTATCAGCCCAAGACACCAATATCAGCCAGAGGGCCAAAGGCCAGAGGACTGATATTGGTCAAGGGCTGATACAGGATGTGATGTGGAAAAGGGTATGTTTTATTATGTTTATTACCTACTTCGTAATAAAATACAGTACACATTAAGTTCAGAAGAAAATAAGTAAAAAAATCTTGCACAAACTTCTTACATGTACACGGTCTATTGTCTCATACGGTTTGGGTTTGTTTCTACATGTACTTCTATTTCAAATGTGCCCGATCCGTAATTTGAAAATAATCTATGGTTTGCAATTAGATAATCCTTACATCCCCAAAATATGTGTATGATCACAAGTACTGTTTTTTTGAGGTTTAAATTTCTAGGGGTGTGATATTGATCTTTATTATATACCCATCAATTTCCTTGTTTTCGTTACTGTTAATTTTACAGAATTTGATCCGATTTTCCGGATCACCACACTGTGGTTTTCTGAATCAATATCACCACTCTCTGAAACTGATGACGTAGTACGCAAAAACATGACGTTATTTTTCTTGCGCGTTAAAAAGTCCCTTGTTATTATGCTTTGTTTTATGGATAAATATTATACAATTGATCTCTAAAGTTTTATTCTGCTATATTTAGCTAGTTATAAGGGAGTATATAATAAATTTATCATTATAACAGTAACTTGATCCGAAGAGCCGTATCACGTCTCGTTGACAGGCGCGGATCATCAGATCAAACTCGACGCTTCGCTTCTCGTTAGATCTGATGATCCGCGCCTGTCAACTCGACGTGATACGACCCTTTGGATCAAGTTACTGTTATAATAATATATATGTATCAGCCCTCCATATCAGCCCTGCAGGTCTGATACGGCTATTGTGACATCAGGCATGTCGCATATGCAAAAATCCTGTATTTATTACTAAGTATGTAATAAATGGAGATAACGAACAGTATTCAACCTCTAATGTCCATAAAACAATACAAAAAAGAAGGGGAGCAAACACAGACCTCTAAAACATCAGAGGTGGGATCAGGTGCCATGAAGGAGTGAGCATCCCCTGCTGACAGGTCACACCCGCCGTATTGATTGAGAAATATCAGAAAAATCCGTTGTCAATTCAGTGTGTAAATAATGAACTAAAAATTCGTATGAAAAATGTCAGTCAGCATTGGACTCAATGATAACTTGTATTTGCTGACAAGGTCATTGTATCAACCATAGAACTTAGAAAATGATGACTTTAAACGAGACTGCTTATATTCTTGTTTCAACTTGTTTGTGAATAATTTACCTTGTTTTGGAAATTGTTCATACATAGAGCATGCTCTTGCATATCGAATCAACTGAAATACATAAACTCCATATGCAGGTGATGAAGGTATATTGCTGCATAAGTAAGGAAAAGTTAAAGTCATCACGTTTGTCATAGAGCTTGGTTGTTAGATTACCACTAACATCTTTTTCAAGTAAAATATTCAAACATGAAAAAACAGATGTTTCAGACTCTGTGGTATCTTTTATCTCAAGCTCACCAGGATATATCGTATCGACATAGGAATGGAAATTACAATTGTTAATTGACAATACGTCGTCGATATTCTAAATGTCAAGTTGAAGGCCACAGCAAGAGTTTTCTTCTTAAAATTCACACATAAGATTTTGCACAAATTCTGCTTCATATGAATACAAAAATAGGTCTGCTAATAACAGGGCACAATTGGTACCCATGGGAATTCCAATAGATTGTTGGAAGACCTGAAATAATGGTCCCAAACACTTTATAGAAAACTGTTGTATCAAGTCACATTTTATTACAAAGCTGCAGTGATATCAACAAGAATTTTTTTATTACTACTTCGTACTATTTATAGTAGTTATATTACACTTTCGTTATAAATGGAGGTTAAGATAATGAAAGATCATTTCAACAATTTATTAAAAATATTGCAATAGATATCACAATTTGCACAATGTACAATATTGCTTTACATGTATATGTATTCACGGTATGAAAGTACAAGCAAATACCCGCCCAGATTTTTCTTATTTTTACTTTAATTGATACACAGCCAAATTTAAGTTTAAATTGATTTTGAAATTTATCTAAATGTAAACATTACAGATCTTCAGTTTAAAATAATTATGAGTCAGAAAGGTCAACAACAGCAGCAGCCTGAGAAAAGGAGTGCCAGCAGTCAGCACAGTGCAAAAGACAGGTCCACACACAATGAACTGACATCCCAAGGCTTAGACAAAGGTAGTTATCAGTTTGTAAAAAAATTATCAACTTTTATCTCATATAAATTCATCATACTCTCTTTTGATTTTATTTTGTAAATGTTGTGTCTCTGAATGATTTTTCTCCCCTTCCATTCTTATTAAGACAATAAAACAATGAAGCATTTGTAACAAATTATGAGATAGTTGTGAAAATATTAAATATTCTGTAACTAGTTTTGAAAAAAATTGCCTTTAGTAAATGGTATGAAAAAGCAACTTGCTATACTGTTGATGCCTAAAGCTTAACTGAAGTACAGGAAAGCCATAGGTAATCTGTCAAAGACTACAGAGTTTTGGCTTCAAAATAATTTAAAACCAAAACTAGATAGTCCTTTATAGTTTACCTACAATATCATAATATAGACATTGTTACTATGTTACGCTGTTCCTGATCGTAATGAAATGTATTATTATACGTTAATATTGATTTGATTAATAGTTTAACATATTTTTCACCTATAAATGTTTTTTTCCTTTGAAGATTACACCGATACCATACTTTAACATATTTAATCTGAAGAATATTTTGGTGTTGATTTTAATTCATTCAGTTTATATAAACAAGAAGTATGAAGAATGGAGGCAGTTTGCTTTTAGAAGTATTCTGAATTGTACATGTACACTTTTGAAATATATATATTCTTTTTATTACAACATCAAGTGCCAATTTTTAGATTGAATATTTGTAAAGTTTTCATTCTATTCACTTTCTCCAGAACTAGACCACTTTAACCAAGCTTTACAAAAAAGCAATCGTGGAAAAAAATTAATTTTAGATTAAGTTCAAATTTTAAACTTGTAGATAAAAGGGTTTAAGATTTAAGAAAAATATTTTATACAGAAACAAATGACACAAAGAGCTGGTGCCAAATGTGAAAGCATTCATGATACATGTATTTGTTTTGTGCAGTTTTAGCTCACCTGAGCTAAGTGCTCAAAATAGCTTTTCTGCATGATCACATTTTGTTGGTAGTTTAACTGTCCATCCATCCACCATCCGTAAACTTTTTGCATTTTTGACTTCTTCACCAGAACCACTGGCTCAATTTCAACCAAACTTGCCACAAAGCATCCTTCAAATTCAAGTTTATTACAAGAATAGATATGGGTTACCCCATATCCAAAGATATTCGACTTTTAGATTTAATATGTTTAACAGTTTTTAATGACGTTTATAAAAATAAAACTGCACTGTCTAGTTATAGAACTTGTGTAAATTTCATGAGTCCGTAGCATTACGGTCACCCGTCTCCTAACCATGCTAACAAACAGTAAACATACCTATGTCTGCAAGACAGTTAGCCTTGGTCTATACACACGTGCGATGGAGTTGTCAAACGGACTCCCGCGAACAGAGAAGTTACGATGGCAGACAGAACTTTTTTTCATAATTAGATCACATGAATACAAATTCTGATTCATAAAAATTAAACGATTGTCCGTTTAGAAATCCCCGGCCAGTTCGGGTTTTGTTACACAATTTTCAGGTACTCTCCCGATGTGTAGTTTGTCTACACACGTGCAGGAGTCTGCTCAGGGATTGAAAATTCCGTCATTTAATATACTACACACACAGAATGATTATTTTTTTCTCTTAGAGAAAGCTATATGATAATTAACGAACAATTAACATGATTTTACTATAGTTGTTGATATAGTATAATCAATTCATCAGTGAAAAAATATCAACCGAAGAATGACCTAGATATTCTCTGTTATCAAACATGTTAAAAAAAAGCTGAGGAGGGAGCGAGCGTAGGAATATTCACATTTTTTATTTGCATTTAGGGGGGAAAGTGATCTTTGGAGGAAAAATTAACATTAATTTTGGTTTCTTTAACCAATGACATACATAACATTATTCTTATCGTGAACAATTATGTTGTATCTACTTATTAATGATGGAACTATTTTCGTCGGAACAATTTGTGTGAGTCGCCGCTGACTACAGTAATATATCTTGAACTAATAGTATGCACTGATCGAATATATTAAAAATAAAGGGCCTTGTCCTCTTTCAAGGGGAGATAATTTAGAAAAATGCTCTATAATCCCTTAGAAATAAATGATTTTTTTCTTCAGCCAATTTAGATTTGGAGAAAACATAGTATATGGAAGTGAAAATAAGTAAAATGCAACTAAAAGTGATTTTTAGCTCACCTCAAAGAAGTTAAGGGATACTTACGTGAAACCATGGGCGTCAGTGTTTAGCTCACCTCAACGAAGTTCAGTGTAGCATATGTAAATATAAAAGATTTTAAAAATAGTTATAAAAGCCCTATGCTAACCAAACTTGGATAATACATCTAAGCATGCACACTACCAGAGTCGCTTCAGTTGCTGGATCTCTCCTACACTTTCCAGATGAGTGACCAGGCTTAAAGTTCATTTCCTAGGTAACCATAAGCTCTATGTTGACCAAACTTGCATACCTGTAGATGATACATTTAAGAATATACATGCCATTGGACTTGCTTTGGATGTTTTTTTTTCAGATGAGTGACCAGGTTAAATTTTTTGGTGCACTTCAATTACCATATAATCCCTATTAACCACCCCAGGGCCCTTAGAAAATTGCGAAAAGGGGGCGGTTATTTTGTTATTCTCATTATAACTAATGTCATATTTTAACTTAAAGAAATCTTGTTGTGATCTACAGCATGAATAATATTTATTATGATAATGATAGGGATTCATCTTGAGAAAAAATTAGGTTTGATATCCATGATGATAGAAGACAAAAGATAATGGGGAAATGACTATGAATAACAGGAATTAAGGTCTTCTGCTATGGTAGAAGACCTATTATATAAGAAACATACTGTAAGTCACTATATTTTCGCGACACTTTATTTTCACGAGCGAGTCATAAGGTATTTATAAGCGAGATAAAATTTTTGCGAGTTATGGTTTTTGTTGTATATATATCCTTGCTAATATGTATTTTTGCGAGAATGTAATTTTCACAAGCATACAGACTTGCCTAATTAAGCGAAAATTTAGTTCTTGTGAATAAAAAAGTGATTTACAGTAGTTAAACATATTGAAAAAAAAAGCTTCATTTAGAAACATAAAAATTGAAAAGCCAATCATTCTTTTTGTTTTGATGCTTACTGCCTCCAATTCATGAGTAGAAACTTTCACCAACTAATAAAACTAAAAAAGACTAAACATTTATGTTTCAGAATATTCTTCCACTTCTTTGTTTTCTCAAACCCTTGAATACACTAGCTCAGCAGGTCGATCAAGGGGTAAGGCACTCTTGTAGAAATATATACATTCTGCCATTGTAGTTTCTTTCCCCTTCATGGCATTGTAGTCCTAGAAAACAGCTTCACATTATGTATGTTATTTATATATATGGATTGGACAATGTATAATAATATAGAACTAGGCTCAAAACATGTGCTTTATAGAGAATATTGTATTATTTTTATATTTTTGAAATTCAAACCAAAGCTAATTATAAGCTAAAATCGATTTTTGTATTTTAGTTAACTTGGCATTTATTTCAAAAGGAATAGTAATAATTATTTGCATGCACATATAATCTTACTATGTACTGGTATACCATGACAGGGACACATCACATATATCATATTAATTTATTATTGAGGATAGCAAAGTACAACCTTTTTTATTCATATTAGCAAACTATGTTCAGAAATCAGAATGTTATATTTTCTTGATTAAGTTTCTTTTATATTTAAAAATAAAACAAAGAAGAAGTCAGAAGTAGCAACAAGTGACCCACAGTAGGCTATATCTTGGAGATTTTGTAGCAAATTTCTGGTCATTGACCTGCACTTTAATCTGTCTAATTAACTTTTATTAATCAAAATATATAGTTATAAACTACTGAAGATCATACATCCAAATATAGTAACAATATATATTAGGGATGGCAATTTGTTATTGGTGAACTGATTACTCAGTCCAAACGATGGCAATCGGTTAGAAAATTTGTAAAGTCAGAAAAATAAAATTGAACATGATTTTCTTTTAAAGATTTGGAGATAATTGTGGCTCGATCTCTGGATTGAGACCATGGGGTAATTGATCAGTTTGCAAAGTATTTATTATAACTGTTCAATTCATGACCCCCGGGGTTAGGATGGGGCCACAATGGCTGATCCAAGTTTTACATAGGAATAAATAGGAAAAATCTTTTAAAAATCTTCTTCTCAAGAACCATTGGGACAGGAAAGATGAAACTCATGTTGAATCATCCTCAGGTAGTGTACATTCAAGTTTGTTCAAATCATGACCCCAGGGGGTAGGATGGGGCCACAATGACTGATCCAAGTTTTACAAAGGAATATATAGGGAAATCTTTAAAAATTTTCTTCTCAAGCACTGCAAAGCCATGATTAGTGATATTAATATAGAAGCATCCTCAGGTAGTGTAGATACTAGTTTGTTCAAATCATAACCTCCAGGAATAGGGTGGGGCTACAATGGGGGTAGGGAGGGAAAAGTGGGGAGTCAAATTCAAATTATTGCAAAGTAATATATACAAACAAAATGTTAAAAAAAATCTTTAAAAATCTTTTCTCCAGAATTTTCTCAAGAAGTTACTGGTATATGCAGTATTGATATGGAGGCATTCTCAAGTAGTATTAGAATTCAAGCCCCCACCCCCCCCCCCCCCACCCCTCAGTAAACTTTTCAGTTCGGATCTGATTTGTGCTTTTTCCTAGCTCAGGTGAGCAATGTGGCCCCTGGGCCTCTTGTTAATTTCTATCATCATTTTTAGTCTTTCTGTTTTATCATACGGAAAGTGTTGCATGTACTTTGAAAAAAATAATCGAGAATATGTGTATTTAGATATGATTAACCTGTTAATTACATGTAGTTGGATTGCCATCCCTATTATATATAATTTTATATACATGCATATATAATCATAACCTATTAATATAACTTTAAATCAAGATAACAACTAGTAAAGTGTAATTTGCTATGACTGTAACATATTTACTTGAAAATACACTGTTACAGTAATATATTGTTTATAGTGGAATTGAAATCTCTTTTTACTTATTATCTGTGTAAATCACAAAATTTTTGCAAGATATTACTGTAAACCAATCATCATAGTTTACACAATATTTTTTAAACAATATTTTGTGCAACAAATGCCTGTGTCAACAATTAATAAGGAATTTATTATTTTTGCTATAACTGAAACTTTACATTTTTTTTTCCATTTTTAAATATTAATGGTACTTAAGGTCCGTCAGTTGATTTAAATTTCAACAGACATTAATTAGTATTGTCTTGATCATTGATGTGACATTACAAAATTTCAATAGGGTCAAGAGTAAAAAAAAAAATTCTTTGTTTTATGTCTTTTACCCCTATATTTATTTTTTTTTTCATACATGCAGTTTTGGCATCTATTGATTGTGAATTGCTTAATTTTTTAAAATCATTTAATCCAGGATTTGATAGCTTTGGGGTCTTAGGCTAGCTTAGTATTCAGGAAAGGGAAAAACACTCAAAATGGTGCAGTATATGTACTACATGAATGTATTTGTTAAATCTAACTGCATGCAAAATCTTTTTATTATTTTTTTTTTTTTTTTGTTATTTATTAAATTTTAATGTCAGTGCAGACATATTTTGAGAATAAAAAGTAACTTTTTATTTATTCTGAAAAAGCTCGCAACACAACTTGCCGCCCACCTCTGTCCGACAGCTTTTTGAAATTAGATGCTTGCAGATCTTGTTGATATTTCCTGCACACTGGAAAAAAATGGTTTACAATAATTTTGGCATTCATTACGGAGAAAAAACAACTTATTTACAAATTTTAGTCATTGAAGTGTATTATCTTAATAAAACAAATAATTTACAGTAAATTGCAAGAATTATTTTTCTTGATCAAAAAGCTTCATAAAAGTAATAAAAAATTAAAGTATTCACAATTAAAAACTTAATCACAGTAGACTTGTATTTGTTATATGAATTTCAAGTCCCCTCTGAATGCCTGAATTTATAAAGTTGAATCTGTTAGGCATCACTTCAACAGAATTAATATTGAATTTTTGAAAATGTACATTAAATCCTCAAAGAGAAAAGATTGAAAAATGTATATTTTACAATTATAGCACACATTTATTTCACAAATTAGTGCTTGATAATAATGGCAGGGAAATGTTATTATATATATTTCAATTTTTTCAAATAAACTTGCTTTCTTTTTACAAAAAATATAACAAAATGCCATATTTAGGAGTGTAATTATACCTTTGTATATATAATTGTACATCTCCAGTAATAACAATTAAATTTCTGTCTTATATAAATAAATTTAAAGAGGAAAGAAGTACAATTTGACTAATGAATATTACATATAATATTGCATTAAAATCATCATTTGCAGCATAAAATGGCTTACATGCTTGTATAAATATTCTTTCATCAGTTTCTATTTCATTTTTTTAACAGAGGACAGGGTTGATGAGTTAAAAGTGATATTCTTGGAAGAGGAAATCAAGGAGTTGAAGCATGCACTTAGGGATGCCAGAAATCGCAACAACTACATGTCTCAGCTTCTGGAACAAGCTGAAGACGTCAAGAAAAAACAGTCAGTTTTAAAGATTTGTTAATGTAATGACATGTATTAAGAAACGGAATTAATTTCTGGTGGCTATTGTAAATTTCCTCTCAATTTCAGAGAATAGACCATGTAAAAGAAGAGGCTCAAGGGCCTTAACAGTCACCTGCTTATGATACAGCCCTGTAAAGGATCCACAGAAAGACAATTTGATAAATACATATAATAAAAACAAACTAAATTAATAGAGGGAAGTACTGTAGATCACTTAATTTTCGCGATACCTTACTTTCGCAAGATAGTCTTTGACTCTTTATTAGCGAAACAAATTTTTTACGAATTGTGGTGATTGCTCTATATAAACTTAAGGAATTCTATTATACACGAGAATGAAATTTTCGCGAGCATACCGTCCCGCATAATTACGCAAAAATAAAGTTCTGGCGAATAAAAAGTGATTTACAGTATGTCGGACACAAACAAAAGCAATGGAGCATAAATATTCAAAAAACACTTAATTGTCTCTATCTGCAAAGCTTGAAAGTAGATTTATTTACTTGCCTTTATATACAGTAAAACTCGGTTATAACGAAGTCACAGAGACCTATGAAATTACTTCACTATGTCCTTCATCTGTCATATCCATATAAAGAATTCATTAAATTTATATAATGGGGGATAAAAGATAACTTCGCTATATCTGTGAATTCGCAATATCTGTGTTCATACTAAACGAGTTTTACTGTATTGCCAGAGCTAACCACCGTAAACTCTTTTACACCAATCATAAGTACACTATATTGCTTCTGCATATTTTTTTTAGATATATATATATATGGAACATATCTCTCAATAAGTTTTGTTCAATATTTATTTATTATTCATTACAAGTCTACTTATCCATCAGTAACAAAAAACCTTTGTCTAATAAACAAAAAACTAGAATTCATTACATTATTTAAAGTTATTAATCAATTATCATAGATAAATCATTTAATGGGAAAAAAAATTCTCATAGAGTAAAAATTAAAATTTTCCTATCTTATCAATAGAGCCCTGCCATGGTACAAGAAACCCTGACTCAAGGAACATGAATTTCCTAACTTATCTTTAAATGATATTAAGTCAAATGCTGACTGACATTTTTCATACAAACTGCTAGTCCATTATTTATACACTAAATTGACAGAATTTTCCATTATTTTCCGATTATGACAAGGAGCACATGGCGGGTGTGACCGGTCGGCAGGGGATGCTCACTCCTCTATGGCACCTGATACCCACCTCTGATGTTTTCGAGGTCCGAGTTTGCTCTGCTCCTGTTTTGTATTGTTTTATGGACTTTTGGTCTTGAATGCTGTTCGTTATCTCCATGTTTCATCTTGATAACATATTAAAAGAATCAAAGAGATTGGATCTAATATCTAGATCCCCCCCTTTTGATCCATTGTACTCCTTTATACATCCTTAGACTATTTTTTTACAGTCCATTGAACCAGAGAGATTGAGTTACAGTATTCTATTTTGTGTTTCTTTTTAAACTTTTTCAGACAAGCTCGTATTGAGATGTTGCAGCAGCAAGTTTCTCAAGGGGGAGGAGCTTTAGCAGAGCAGATAGCTGCTGGTAATCTGAACCCATTCAGTAACCAAGTCAGACCTCCCACCCTGGCTGAATGTGAAGCCATAATAAAGCATCTTCAGAAGGTCAACGAAAATCAGGCTCATGAGGTACATGCACTACACTTCTGTAGGAAAAAGGTTCCTATTCCTTTTCAGGGTCTATACTTTTATTCCTATTTATTAAGCTGACTGTAGATCACTAAATTTTCTGTGATGCCTTTTTTCATGAGAGAGACTTTTACTCCTTATCTAAACAAAACAAAATTTCACAAATTGTGGTTACTGCTGTATATACTGTAGATCATTAAATTTTCGTGACACCTTATTTTCGCAAGATAGGCATTGATTCTTGATAAGCAAGACAAAATTTTCACGAATTGTGGTTATTACTCTATATAATCCTAAGGAATACTATTAAATGCGAGAATTAAATTTTCGCAAGCACACTGTCTCGAAAATTGCACGAAAATAAAAGTGATTTACAGTAATCTTTAAGATACTTATAATAAGTTATTTATGCGCGAGTGATATTTCTGCAAGCACACTGTCTCAAAATCAGCAAAAATAAACATCTCACAAGTAAAAAGTGATTTGCAGGAAATGATTTAAGTCAAAATTTTGAATTGATATAACCATTGAAATATTTGTATATCATACTAAAAAGCATGTTTTAAATATTTTTAAATAAATGATACTCTAGATATTACCGGTAAAATAAATTTTTGACTGTTCTCAGTAAGTGAGTTTATGATTTTAGGCCCAGAATAAGAATGTTGAGAAATATTCAGAACTGTTTAATATTCTTCTTTCAGCTTGATGGATTGAAGTCTGACTTACGAGATGTTCTGTATTCTCACAAATGGACACCTGATGCCTATCTTCTTGCCAAGGCTTATATTGCAGAGGATGATGCCAAATCTACTCAGGATAAAAGTCTGCCTAAAGTACCACTGAAAAACCCCTCCAGAAAACTGTAATTATCAGTAAACTATTTCATATTATAATCTAACCCAGTGAGTCAAAGACTCATGCAAGTAATCTTTCCTGATCATGAAAGTTTTTGCTTCGGCCATCTTTCTGTCTGTGATTACTGGGGCAGTAATGTGTATCTTTGTTAATTCACTGGAGCTCCAATTTTTCTGATCATTTGTTGTCTAGCACCCACCCATCTGCCTGTGAAGCTGTGTCTAGCTATTCCTTCATCAGATTCTGTAATTGTTACACATTTTTGACTTATCAAAAGCCTCTTGGCCAATTTTAACCAAAATTGGCACAAATCATCCTTTAAGTTGGGTAAAGGAGATATTAAATAATACAATTACATAAATATAATTCCAAGGGGGGATAATCAAGAAAATCAAGGCCAAAATATGATGGGGCTGTTAAAAATCTTTTCAGAATCACTGGGCCAGAAAAGTTGAAACTTCTGTGAAAGCACAATCATAATGTAGTGTAAATCCAAATTATTCAAATCATGGCCTCTGAGGGTTAAGTTGGACCACAATATAAGCTCCAAGTCTTACACTGAAATATATATGAAAATATATAAATTTTTCAAATTCTCAAGAACTAATGGACCAGAAGAGAGGAAACATGTGTGAAAACTTGCTGATGTAGTGTAAATTTTAAATTGTTCCAATCATTGTCCCCTTGGGTTGACTGGGGCCACAAAAGATAAGATCTTTCACATTGAAAAACATAGGATTTAAAAAGAAATCCTCATGATCAAGAATTAATAGGCCAGAATTGATGAAATTTGTGTGACAGCCCCATAAGGTAGTGTAAATTTTAAATTGTTCAAATCATGGTCCCTTTAGGTTTGTTGGAACAACAAGAGATCATATTTTTAAATTGAAATAAGTTGGAATTAAAAAAGATACTAAGAACTAATGGCAATCTAATTAAAATCAAATGTTAGATCCGCTCGCATACTCGCTACACTAACATCTAACAACATCCAATAGAGGGTCACGTCAGAGGTCAAATTCAGAACAACTCTAGACTTATTCGGTTCGATAACGTCACCAAATATCCGATGATTTTGCCAGCGAAAATTTGATTGGTTGATAGAATTTGACCTCTGATGTGACCCTCTATGGGATGTTGTTAGATGTTGGTGTAGCGAGTATGCAAGCGGAACTAACAGCTAATTTTAATTAAATTGAACTAATGGGTGATAATTGATGAAATTTTTGTGAAAGCTTCATAAGGTAAAGTTGATTCTAATTTGTTGAAATCATCTCACCCCCTTTTAGGTTGGCCGAGGCCACAACAGGGGATTAAGTTTCACATTGAAATATATGGGGAAAAATTCGATTTGAAAATGATAGATTTAATTTTTACGTTTAAATTTTTAAATAGTCTTCTCAAGGATCACTGGGCCAGAAGAGATAAAACTGGAACAAAAGCTATCTGACGTAGTGTAGGTTGAAGATAAAATATATATAAATCATATCCTTTTGGGACAGAGTGCTGTCACAATAGAATATTAAAGTTATAAAAGGAATTATATATGTAGAAAATAAGTTTTGAAAATCTAGTCATATACAACATTCCAAAGTTGAGCGGCTTCATTTTTAGGTTACCTGAGTCACACAGGTGACCTATTGCTATGTCCGTGGACATTTTTATCTTCTTCTCTGGAAGCACTGAACCAATTTCAACCAATTTTGGCATATAGCATCTATGGGGGAAGGGGAGTACAAATTAGGAATTTCATGTTCCCTGCTCCCCTGGGGCCTGAGGGATAGGGCAAAAACTACTAAAATTAATGCAAATTCCAAAATCTTCTTCTTCACTCCTGGACATGAAGCAGTCAATCTGTTGGCATTTGATTGTAATAAGCATTGAGTCCTCTACCCAAATTGTGAGATTCATGGCCCCAAGATCAGGGGTTCTAATGCTTAGGGTGGGGCTATATATATTATATATTGAAAGAACATTATTTCTTTCTTTGAAAATCTTCTTCTCTGCTCCTGAGTTTTAAGTAAACAATCTTAATGTATAGTTATGATGAGTGACTCTTCCCAAAGTTTGAATTTCATGGCTCCAGGAACAGGGGTTCTGGTGTTATGGCAGGGGTATATTGGTTATATAGTGAAAAGACATAGATTCTTTAAAAAAAAATTCTTCACTGCTCTTGGGTGTGGACAAACTAACTACATACTTAGTTATGATGAGCCCAGGGTCAGGGGTTCTAGTGCTATTCTGGGGCTATATAGATTATATAGTGGGTTTATTAATAAACATTCAATTAGATGCCTAAAACTTAGAAATTGTTATAAATATGCTTGCACCCCCCCCCCCCCCCAAATTCATGCTTTGTCTTGAACCTGCAGGATTTAAAAAAAAATAATAATAATAGTTTTGTATATCAAACTTATATTCCACCTTCTTTTTATGCATCATAATCTGTATCATTTATTAGAATTTTTAAGAGTAATAATGAAAATGTAGACAATGATTGGGACCTAAGTGGCTTTATTCATTTTTTAGACAAACTTTCCCTGATGTCCGTGCCAAAGAGAAATTAAATTGGAGGTCATCATACTGATCATGATGCAGTGTAGCTTAGTTAATTCTATGCTTTATTATTTAATATGTACAACATTACATGTACATGTATGTTAAAAGAATCGATTAGGCGAATTTAGATTTCAATGACTTTAAATGACTTACAACTGATGATTTAAACATAACAAAATAGAACCTTTTTGTATTCCAGTGGCTGACTCTCAGCTTTTTTATAAAAGCTAATCATAACTTCGAAAACAATAAAGTAGGGGGGGGGAGGTATTTGGTAAAGAATAGCATGGCTTAAGTTACTCAGGTGAGCTATATGCCCCATGGGCTTATTGTTTGCCTCAGTACGCACATTTAATAATTCTACAAATCTGGGGAAGGGGTTCAACCCCCCTTTCTGAACGTCCTCTTTTTTAACTAAAAATGTTTCTACTTAATGCTTTTTCTACTCCTGTAGGCCAGAGGTTGCTTACATCAACAGGGAAACGGTCACCCTGCCAGCCCTCAAACAGACCGTGAGTAACCAGAATGTAGAGAGGAAGAAGCGGACTCAGATACTACAGAAAGCACGCCTCAGGAAGGAGGTCATTCCTTGATGATAATTCTTATGTTTAATTTAAAAGCTGCATTTTTTTAAATCAGTGGGATCACAATTTAGTCATATTGATTTACACTATCCCCATTAATGTTTATTCAGATGTGGTCAAGTCTTTGCCTTAAGCAATCTTAAGGGAATATTTTAAAAAGGGAAAATTCTCATTCTCTAGGAGAGCATTACCAGTGTGACTAGGTGAGTGTTATAAGTCGCTGGCCTTTTGTTTCCAATTCATTCAGTGTTCTAGTTTTATTTTATTTGTACATACTGTCTTAATGTTTCAGTGATGTATATGATATTCAATTTTATTTTATTTGGCAGAGTTCTCATATCGGATGCTTATGATTATTTATAGATAAACTTTCTAAAGCTTAGGTAAATTTCTCTCCCCTTCACTTGTAGGTTTTAATTTTTAAATACCACCAAACCTATAACTTTGAGTTGATTGCAGCTTCGATGCCAATTCACTAATAAATTGATGTTAACTTTAAACTTTTTAAATTTTGACTGATATTGTTCCAGTCTTTTTGTGTTCCATTTGTGAATATTTAAGAAAGGATATGTATTGTGAAGTTTATTGAAATGTTTGACAATATTTGTGTTGTATGATTTATCACAAAAATTTGTTTCAGTTCTCTTGGTGCTTTTTCAACAGTGTATGATTGTATATTTTATTTATCAATGGGTTTCCTACAGTACTTAGGGTAACCTCAATCTAATCCAAGATATTAACATATTTTGGTGCTCTTGATAAATGAAACACTGTGCATGCATACTTCACAATCAATAAGAATAAAGGAAATTCTATGTTGACAAAGAAGTATGTGTTCAACTTATATATCAACAAGTCTTGATGTCAAATATTTGTCTCTCAGTTGCTAAATCGGCTACATTTAAAAGTATACATTACTGCTTCATAGCCCTCTTCTTTAAGCCAGCCACTTATGATTGTACAGATTGATTTAAAGTACAACATATACATGCAAAAGACCTGTTTTCCTTCTGCATGGTCATGTTCAAATCTCCCATGAAAGTTTTCTCTATGCAGAATTTATATCCATTGTTAACTAATCCTGCATTGCCTCGATTCATCACAAACTTCTCAGCAGTAGCCATGACGTTCAAGGATGCTATATAATTACATTTCGACTACAGACTTATATTTATTCATTTTTATTGGAATTAATTAAGAATCAAATTGTACTTCCGAATCACTACATGGTGAGTGAATAAAAATTATGTCGAATGCCATACCATTGCTGGCTGATTTGATATGTAGCAGTAATGAGTTGTTTTCAGCAATAATTATATTGATAAAATGTAGCGGGAATGATCACCCAAAATTTTTTTAAAATGTAGGGTTAATGAGTTGAAATATTTGGCAATGTAGCAGTAATGTTGACCTTCCTGCTAAATCTGTGAGTATTAAGTGGATGTGTTTTATAAATAGAGAATAATACTTGTCCTTTTCAATTGCACACTTTGTGTCAGCCTAAGACACCAATTGTGTTTGGGAAAAGGTTATGTACCCTATATACTCGCCTGTAGGTCTTTTTTTTTTTTTTTTTTTTTTTTAAGTTAAATTATGGTCCAAAACTTTGTCAATGTTCGACTTAAAGGTGGGTCATAAAAACTTAATGTATTTTAGAGGGTCATTTCTTCTAATGTAAGCTTAAAAAAATACAACCAACTTATGGGCCAACTGACTTAATTGTTAGTATATACAATATATATTATGTTTTTTACATACTTAGTAATAAGATACAACACACATCAACTTCAGCAAATACTTGGAAAGTATTGCAAACTAAAATCCTTATCATTTGTTATATCAGCCCAAGCAGTCCCACAATAGGATGAAGGCTGATATGAGGCCAGGAGGTTTTAAAAATATGACACATGATATGGATTTTTAGAACACAATAATACTCTTTTCCATATCACATCATGTACGTATCAGCCCAAGACACTAATGTCAGCCAGAGGACTGAAGGCTTGAAGGCTGATATTGGTTGAGGGCTGATACAGGATATGATGTACTGGAAAAAGGGTATGTTTTATTATGTTTATTACATACTTAAGTAATAAAATACAGTAAACATCAAATTGAGAGAGAACAAATTAATAACTAATCATGCTCACACTTCAGACATGAACACAGCGTATTGTCTCATATGGTTTGGGTATGTTTCTACTTCCATATCAAATGTGCCTGATACATTAATTGAAACATTTTTTTTTTTTCAATTTGATGATCCTTACAATCAAAAAGTTAAAATTAAGTTAGCAGAATGCGTATCAAAAAAATATGTTTTTTATCACAAAAACTGTTTTTAGCTCTACTGGTCAGACACCAGAAGTGTAAGCGATAGTAAGGTATCCTCTATCTAGCTGTCCATCTGTCTAAACAATTTTTTTGAAAACGCTACTCCTTCTACAGTTTTGGTCTGATTTCAGTATAATTTGGCACACAAATAGACTACACTAAGATACATAATTTTTTGCATTGGCTTAAAAAATTTTAATTTTGACGAACAGTGGTTACTAAAAATAGAAATTTCTGTGAAATTCCTTTAAAATGCTGCCCCTCCTACAGTTTTTGTCTGATTTCAATATAACTTAGCACACAAATAGACTAAACTAAGATACATAAATTAGTTTATTATATGATTGAGTAATTTCCCTCTCTCTGATTCACTGTAGGAAAGCGGGTGACCGTTATATATATTACGGTCTGTCATCAAAACATGTCGGCTGAACCGATCGGTTGAATTTTTTCATTCAAGATTTAAAACATTTGTTGCATATATGTGTAAACTCTGCTGAAAAATGAATGTAAGCCAATGAAAACTTGCTATTGATTATTAAAACTTACTTGAACTTAAGGAAATAAAGCTGCAGTTCGACCTCAAAGTTTTTGAGAATGATGTCCGTAACAAAACATTAAGATGACCGTAATCTAAACTTTTCCAATGAAGTGGGATGACCGTAATATACCGAATTTATTTTGTTAAAATCTTTCCTGTTATAGAAGCAGATATATGAAGTTATTTGGACAAAGACATAAATATCATTTTCAAACATAACATTTCTAACTATTTGCCAAACTTATTTCACAGGGGCTTGTGTAGTTCACAGGGGCTTGTGTAGAGAAAATAAATCAGTTAAGAAAATTAGTACCTCGGAGAGAAAAAACACATTTTCTCCGAGGCACTAATTTTTTTAACTGATTTATTTTCTCTACACAAGCCCCTGTGCTTATTTCTCAAAAAAAACAACTTTTAATTGTTGAAATGTTCATTGAAAGGTTGTCAAATCCTCTTTTTTTTGTTGCAATATAGCCAAATCGGAATAATCTGTTGTTTTGAGAATAAGGGATGACTGCACTTAAGGATATGCAAAATTTACGTCAAAACAAACTTTCAAAACAGATATTTTTCTTTTAATTGTAGGCATGATCACCATCTAGTCTACAACTTATATATTTGCATTAGTAATGTTGTGTTAATAGACAAACATGCGCTCATGGCTTAAAAGAGAAAAAAAACTGCTTCTTCTTACACTCGCCCTCTCTTTTGTATACCAAAGCTTGTGACACGTTGAATATTATAATTCACCACGTGATATCTTTCCTCAGGTAATTTTCACGGGCTTTTAATTGGGGTTTGGTCCCCCTTCCGTTTTTTTTTTACATCGATTATGTTGTAACCCTTTCGTTTCTATAAGCTGTTTTAAAATTTATCGATTTCGACTGATGCTCTCTTTTTATGTATATCAGTCGAAAACGATTTATTTAAAAACGGTTTTATAGAGACGAAAGGATTACATTATCGATAACATATATAGTGCATATTAGAATACGGAAGTAAGTAAAAGGTGAACTGATCTCAGCTTTAACAAAAATGGAAAGGAGGGGGCATACCCAAAGTGCCAGTGGTAAATTTCTGAATACTAAATTCCGTCTGCAGGTGACTTATATGTAGCGTGTTTTGTACTATGTTCGAACACGTTAAAAAGTCATCCAACAGTTTAAAATATTCTTTACTTACTAAATACATGGATGGGCTCATACGTTTAAAGTCTTTGTAACTAATATAATTGTGCTATACAGAATAAAAAGGAAGATGGAAAATAGAGATCTCATATTTTTTAAATACATGTCATTATTATTCATCCAGTCTAATTTTAGATACATTCTTACGATATTAGCCCCACCTCTCATGCATAAATAATATTCAATCAAGGGCAGGTAACTGTAAATTACCTATATCATGCATCATGATTTTTTGAAATAACAAAGTTTATATGCTATTAAAATCATCCATCAAAATTTTTTGGTTAGAAAATTAATATTTTGGTTGTTTCAGCGATTCAAAGTTTAAATTTCTCAATATGCATATTTTGATCGCCGATGTTGCGCGCCATTGCTCTGACGTCATAGGTGTCAGTCCTGGTCAAGCGAAGTACTAATTGTGTTTACAAAACGACCCAATGGCTTCGTCTATAAACCCTACTAGTAATTAAGAAATGATAATTGGTTAATCAATAGATATTTATAAATAATTTGTGGCGTTTAGATGAAAAATCAGCACAGGAAAGGTTTTAGGAAGTTTCTTTTACCTGCCAGGGACTTGGTCGGTGCGAGGATTTGTCTATATATTCAGAGCATTGGTTTATGTACGATCAAAATTTTTCTGTATTATATAAAATATATATTTAATGGAAATAGTATTTTTTTTCAAAAAAAAAATCAATATGCATTTAATGCACAAAGACTAGTGTTGTGAAGCTCGTAATGGCGTACCATTGCGTACGGCGCCATTGAAGATCGAAGTGTCCTTTCTATCAAATGATGTTCATTGCTGGAACAGATAGAAGATACACAAGATCTGTTTATGTATAATTTATTAAAATAACGAAGAAAGAAAACGTATGACCATTTTTATAATTATTTAAGAAGTCAAAGGTTAATAATTCGATCTATTTAGTCGAAGCCACAGGAGTTGTCAACGGCTTCGTCTTCAATGCCTTCTCCTCTTTTCACGGTGTGTTTTTTATTTATTTTTATGCTGTAGAAGTTAAAACATATAAGATTGAGCATCCATAGCCAAAGTAATATTGTCAATATCAAAATTTCTTTCAACCTAGTGGTGTATTCTTTTTATTTCAGGCAAATATCTATACGGTATAGATGTTTTCTTACGATACGCTTTACGAGGTCTAATTGCCCATTGACACCTATGACGTTTCAGTACCACGTGACCCCTATCTAATTAGTGGAGATTTTCAATCTGAGGACCCTACATTACGGACGTATTATGGCTTAAATACGACAGTTTAAAGCATTATTTTATGATTAAACGATAATTATATGTTTCAAGAATATAATAGTGTTTAATTTTTAAGAAATTTCTATGCGTGATAAAAACCCTTTAAAGGGTTTTTATCATGCATCATGATTTTTTGAAATAACAAAGTTTATATGCTATTAAAATCATCCATCAAAATTTTTTGGTTAGAAAATTAATATTTTGGTTGTTTCAGCGATTCAAAGTTTAAATTTCTCAATATGCATATTTTGATCGCCGATGTTGCGCGCCATTGCTCTGACGTCATAGGTGTCAGTCCTGGTCAAGCGAAGTACTAATTGTGTTTACAAAACGACCCAATGGCTTCGTCTATAAACCCTACTAGTAATTAAGAAATGATAATTGGTTAATCAATAGATATTTATAAATAATTTGTGGCGTTTAGATGAAAAATCAGCACAGGAAAGGTTTTAGGAAGTTTCTTTTACCTGCCAGGGACTTGGTCGGTGCG